CCGAGAGTCGTAAGTTCAACCGCCGCACAATAGATAGCGGTGGTGACATCTACATCTGCAGAACGTGAAGAACCAGTGACATCTACATCTACAGGAGATATTACAACTTTTAAAGCCATTTCCCGTGTTTAGTGTACATGCCGTACAGCATGTTTGGAATAAGTTGGACTTACGAATAAGTTGGACTTACCAACAAATCGACTTACGAACAGAACTCTTTGAACCTGACTCGTTCGTAAGTATAAGAGTCCCTGTCCTTGGGCCCAAGCACGATATGTTTTTGCCATCTCTCGTCACTGATGTTTTCCGTGCTCGGATATAGAACAAGTCGTATTGCTGGGTTTAAAGCGCAGTTGTGCGAACCAACCAATCACTCAAGACGGTTCCACGGTACACACATGAAGCAATACAACACGTGCGGTAAATAGGTGAAATTTCAACATTCACAGCAACGTTTATGAACGAGGAGTCTTAGCTTCAAGGCCGAGCAAATTGGCATCACTACATTATTAACTGCTGAACCGAACACTGCAAGTGTATACCATAAATACAGCTCTGTGCTGCAATAACCTCGAGACACAATGTACGTACAAACAGCAGGTTAGACGTCCGATTGATGTATACACGGACAAATAGCCACAATCCAGCTTGATAGCTACGGCACGTGTACTTACAAGACTCACAATAGAGAACACAGATCCACACACACACGCGCACTGTTGGGGCCTAAGCGCTGTTGGCGAGCACGTGTCAACGTGAAAGCCGACGAAACACGCACGTGGGGGGGGGGGGGCAGTGTTGTGGACGGAACCACGCCCAGACGTCTTTGTCTCCCCAGTGCTGAGATGTAACACACCGCGCACCCAGGTTTCAAACGGAGTTCGACCTCACGTGAGGGTCCAAGGACCCGCTGTGACCTCGCCGAGCGGGTCAACGTTCATGGCTCTTACGGTCGGTCGGGTTACTTGGAGGGCAGCATTAGCACCATCACTCACGTTCACAACCACCCACGCACACAGAAGAAGTACTGCGCTAATACGCATCCACCACATAGCAGTAAGGGGCCGTCCATAAATGACGTCACGCACCTAGTGGGGGGGGGGGTCAGACGTTTGTGACGATGTGTGACGAGGGGGGGGGGGGTTTGAGAAATGTGACGTCACATCAAAATGCGCAACTTTAAATGAATATAGACAACACGTTCTACTTAATTAGAATATACTTTTTGATAAATGTTTTCTCCTACAACTATCAGAGTGCATCGCCACATTAAATACGCACTATAATGACAATAGTTTAAAGCGATTTTAAGCATGTTTTATTTTTTTTGTGGAAGGGGGCAGAGCTTTGTGACGTCATATTTGAGGGGGGCTCTGACTTTTCGTGACGCCGTGTGACGATGGGGGGGGGGGGGGGTCAAAAAACCCCTTTGGTTCTCAATCGCAAACAATTTTTATTAATGTTAATAAATACATAGGTTTGATGAAACAAAGCCAGTTCCTACTTAATTCGTGTTTTCTATTATTTACCTTCTAACAACAAATCTGGCCATGTCCTCGCACTCCCAGAAAGGGCATCTCGCACCCCCTGGGGATGCGAGCACCCAGGGTGAAGAAGCCACTGGCTGAGAGGGAACTCTAAAGAGCACATCTGGAGGGTATATTGGTCTACTCTTTCATTGTCGGACAATTATTTTTGGGACGAGTGAGAGTACCCACGCTTTACCCCACCAACCAAACGCGACACCGCCTTTCGATTGTGCGCGTGTACCGACCTCCAGCGCTGGGAGGATTGCGCGTTGGCGACAGGGAAACGTGGATGACGAAAATCCCAAAACCTACACCGCACACTGCCGCGCCCGGAGATGGAAATCCAACCGGCGACATTTGGGATTGCAATTCCAGCGATTTAAGCATCGGTAAGGCCACTGCGACGGTGTGGCATCTGTGGGGTCAATGGTTTAAAATGCCCCCCCCCCCGGGGTAGAAGGGATATGTGTGTGTATTTTTTTTGAGTGTACTTATCGAAACTAACCCCGTGTAACAAAGAGCGCTCGCTCGCTGGCGGATTTAGCCGAACGAGCATCGGGCCCCAAAGCCGGCGACGTTTAGACAGCGAACCCGCCTAATAAGGGGCCGTCCATAAATGACGTCACGCGATTTTGGACGATTTTTGACCCCCCCCCCCCCCCCCATCGTCACAAAAAGTCAGACCCCCACCCTCAAATATGACGTCACAAAGCTCTGCCCCCCCCCCCCAAATAAAACATGCTTCAAATCGCTTTAAACTATTGTCATTGTAGTGCGTATTTAATGTGGCGCTGCACTCTGATGTTGTAGGAGAAAACATTTATAAAAAAAAGTCTATTTAATTACGTGTTGTCTATAGTTATTTAAAGTTGCGCATTTTGATGTGACGTCACATTTCTCAAACCCCCCCCCCCACTCGTCACACATCGTCACGAATGTCTGACCCCCCCCCCCTAGGTGCGTGACGTCATTTATGGACGGCCCCTAACTGCTGTAAGGGCGGACAACTGTGTCCATAGCAAAACACGTGGGGGGGGGGGGGGGGTCCGTGTGGATATCGTAACAATGCGTGGGCTTTGACATCTTACTCGTTGGTATTAAACTCCAGCCCACCTCTCCCTGCAAGACTGGGTGAGCTCAGCGTGCGTCCAATGTCACGCACAGGACCAAGGACCCATTGCCCGAAACGTCTGCCTATTGTGTTTTCCTTTGAAGGCAGTGTTCATTGACACGTGCGTGGAGGTTGTTGTTGTTGTTTGCTGTACGAGTAGTCCAACTTCTTCTCCTCTGTTGGCGTACGTAGTCAGACACGCCACTTGCACTGCGCCTTCTCGCACTGGTTCGCGAACGCTTTACGCTTCCAACTCATTTAAAATCCCGGGTTCGATTCCCTGCCACGGCTATAACACGTCGTGAGCGGCGCGTGGAGATCGCGTGACACGTGTCCCTTTACCCACCAGCCCTTTCCATTGGCAACTTGCACCCAACCGGCGTGGTGAAGCATGACCAAACAACCGCTCCGACCCGACTCAGCGTGGGTAGCAGTAGTAGAGCTTCGTCTAGCAGTGCATTCACAAACGGCTGTAAGTGACCGCATTACTTGTGCAGCTTTACACGAACGCGCATGTTAACTCTGCTGCACGTGCAGTATATGCAGTCTAGCTTAGCACACGCATTGCGCATTCGTCTCAGCACATATGCAGAGTTTTAAAAGAGCACTCGTCAGCCGGGATCTATCGTACTGCGATAGACTAAGGCCTCTGTGTCTCGCGCGATGCAAAACAAAGATGTAACAACTCCAGATTGAACAACTCCAGCGCACAAGCCGATTGTCGCCGCTCCATCTCCGCAGTGGATGTACCCCTCGGGTCTCCTGCGTCGCTTTATAAACTTGCATCGCTTAATATAGCCCCGACCCACCGTCGCTTCAGAGCCGAGCAATCATCTCTCTTAGAACCAGCCACCACCATAATCGATTGTAGGGGGCATCATCTCTCAGAAGCAGCCACCACCATAATCGATTACATGGGGAAATCATCTCTCAGAACCATCCACCACCATAATCGATTACATGGGGAAATCATCTCTCAAAACCAGCAACCACCATAATCGATTACATGGATAAATCATCTCTCAGAACCAGCCACCACCCTAATCGATTATAGGGGGCATCATCTCTTATATTCAGCAACCACCATAATCGATTACATGAGGAAATAATCTCTCAGAACCAGCCACCACCATAATCGATTACATGGGGAAATCATCTCTCAGAACCAGCCACCACCATAATCGATTGTAGGGGGGGGGGCATCATCTCTCAGAACCAGCCACCACCATAATCGATTACATGGGGATATAATCTCTCAGAACCAGCCATCACCATAATCGATTATAGGGGGCATCATTCAGCCACCACCATAATCGATTACATGGGGAAATCATCTCTCAGAACCAGCCACCACCATAATCGATTACATGAGGAAATCATCTCTCAGAACCAGCCATCACCATAATCGATTATCGCGTGCCGTCGTCTCTTGAGATCCAGCCGCCACCATCGCTGACTCCAGCGAACCATCATCATCTTTGCGCCACGTGTCCTGCCTCAACCCACGCCTCTCAACAACAGGAGGAGTCACCACGATGAGGCCAACTCGTTTGCTCTCCCGACTCATCATTACTACTGCTACTGCTGCTTCTCGTTCGTCCTCTGCACGCAACCCAATTCGTGTTTGCGCCCCTTTCCAGCGCTCTCACGTGGCGATGGAGCGAGTGGTAGAGACGCGGCGGCGCTGATACATATCAGGGCGTGGTGATAATACAAGAATGTAAAACACCATTGGAACCTCATTTGTCAGTAGAAAAAATATGAGAATTGTTTTTTTTTTACCCTTTTATCTGGCAACGACAAAAAAGGTGTCAGTTTTGTTGCCAGATAAAAGGGTAAAAAAACAATTATAAAGAATGTAAAACACAAATTAATAGGTTTTTGCATAACGTAATTGTAACTTAAGCGCCGTGATTACAGTTGTTGATGTTATCAAGGTGATGATAGCAATAATGGTTTGATAGTTACCGCAATGATAAACGATTGTCACGCACAAATAATTTAAAAACGAAACCGTTCACAACCGACAAAGCGTGGCACTTCAAACTTAAAACACGAAGACGATGACAATTTGACGACGGCGATGACAGCGGTAGTGTCAAGGAGCTTTGTTCAGCAATGATGATCAATAACCATTCACAGGACATCGATACCAAAGCACGCACAACGAACGCACGCGCCACATTAAAACTTCCACCGCCAACCACGCAACTCAACCCACGCACAGCGCGATGATGATGCTGCTGCTGCTGCTGCTGTTCAATGCTTTACGTGGGATCCTACTCGAGGAATTATTGTTGTTGTTAAAGTATCCTTGTGTCGGTGCGTTTGCGCGCGCCCCGGGGGAGCGATCAACTCACCTAGAAAACGAGACACTCCTCCGCCGCCCAGATGAATGACAATCCTGACCGCTGACAGCAGCATGAGTAAGCCCAGACAAGCCATGTAGTTTCTGGGGCCAAATTTGCCCACAAGCCACATGCTGCGCCAGAGCCGGCACAGCCCCTCGCATTGGATCGCGAGCGGCTTCTCGTGACGGTCATTCGTAAAATCCCTGTCGGTGGTGGCGGTGGCCGGACGGTTGTTCTCCTGCGGCTGTGTGGTTGACGCTACTCGTGTGTTGTTGTTGGTGATGATGATGATGGTGGGCTAAGGGGTTTGGGGTAGTCGCTTTGCCCAACGCCGCCGCGTTCACGGACAGGAAGCTCTCGTTCGATGTGCGTAGCCAGTCGAGTCCCGGGCGAGCGGCTGCTGCTGGTGATGATGTTGGTTCTGTTTCTGCAGCGAGCAAGCCAAGCCACTCGCTCCACATCTTCCCCCTCTCCACGCCGTCTCCGCCCACTGCCACCACCACCTCGTGTGTGCCTCGCAAGGAATCCTGCCAAGCTTCTCCCACACACACTCCCCCCCCCACACACACTCCTCCCCCCACACACACACACTCCTCCCCACACACACACACTCCTCCCCACACTCCCCACCCCCCAGAACTCTAGTTCGGCCACACCACTCCCCCAGTAACACCCACCCCACCACCATCACCACCACCACGTGCGGCTCTCGCTCTCTCTGCCCTGCCCTGCCTCCTGACATTTCCCACCCCGCATCCGCTACTTACTCAATCGCTCACCGACCGAACACCAAGAACCAGCTTACTCAACCAACTCGCTCATTGCCTCACTGACTCACTCGCTCGCTCGCTCGCTCACTCGCTCGCTCACTCACTCACTCGCTCACCGGCTCAATCACTCAATCACTCACTAGCTCACTCAATCACTCACTCACTCGCTCACTCAATCACTCACTCAATCACTCACTCGCTAGCTCACTCGCTCGCTCACTCACTCGCTCACCGGCTCAATCACTCGCTCACTCACTCACTCGCTCACTCATTCACTCAATCACTCACTCGCTCACTCACTCACTCGCTCACCGGCTCAATCACTCACTGATACGCTCACTTGTTTAACCAACTCATTCACTCACCACCGACTCACTCGGTAATCTACGCATTCGCCGACTCACCGACTGACCCGCTCATTCACCCACTAACCCACTCGCTAACCTGTTCACTCACCCATTCATCTTTTTCACGGACGGACCGACTTTGGTAATAACCTAAGCGCCAACTCACAAACCCACTCATTCACTCACTAACCCACCCGCTAACTTACTCATTCACTTACCGACCGACTCGCTGAGCAACTCGTGATGATTTATTCACTAATTGAGTCGCTCCTCTCTGATTCACTCACTCAACTCAACCATTGACCTATTCGCGAACCCACGTATTCACGAACAAATGCATTTACTCCTCGACTCAGCATCAACCCATTCCATCACTGACCCATTCACCCACCCGAGTAAGAGGCACGCTGCTACGCACTTTCTCCATAATTAAATCACTCGATGATTTACTCATTCACTCGTTAACTCATTCATTCACTCGCTCACGAGTTCACTCACGGACGCACTTCGCCACTCGCCCACAACGAATGTACTCACTCGCTTGCTGACTCCGTCACCCACACGCGCGGTGAGCGATGCTGCTTCACTCTCTGTCCTGGGATTCGTTTCTAATTTGCCTCGGCGGTCCCCTGCCTGTGTGTGAGTGTGTGAGGGTGGGTGGCTGTGTGTGAGTGTGTGTTTGTGAGTGTGTGGGTGTGTGGTGTGAGTGTGTAGGGTGTGTGTGAGGTCGACTCAGCCTGTGTTGGGGAGCGGTGGTGTAGCGGTTAGCGCGCTGCGCTGCGCTATGAACCCAGCGACACGGGTTCGATTCCCGCTCACGGCCAACATCAGTGACGATTATCTGAACAGGTCCCGGGCCTCCCCTAGGTCGACTCAGCCTCAAATGAGTACCTGGTGCGGTGTGTAAACATTGCCACTAGGGAGACAAAGGCGGTCGGGCGTGGTGCTGGCCACCCACCCCCTCGTGTGCCGTTCCGGCTTTATAGGTGCTCGCTAACAGCACTTGCCCCTACAGTCTGTTAAGGCTATACAGGGGATCTTTGTCTTGTGAGGGTGTGTGTGAGGGGGTGTGTGTGAGGGGGTGTGTGTGTAGGGTGAGGGTGTGTGTGAGTGTGTGTGAGTGTGTGTGTGAGGGTGTGTGTGTGTGAGGGTGTGTGTGTGTGTGAGTGTGTGTGTGAGGGTGTGTGTGTGTGTGAGTGTGTGTGTGAGGGTGTGTGTGTGTGTGAGTGTGTGTGTGAGGGTGTGTGTGAGTGTGTGTGTGAGGGTGTGTGAGGGTGTGTGTGAGTGTGTGTGAGGGTGTGTGTGAGTGTGTGTGAGAGTGTGTGTGAGGGTGTGTGTGATGGTGTGTGTGAGGGTGTGTGTGTGAGTGTGTGTGTGTGAGGGTGTGTGTGTGAGGGTGTGTGTGAGGGTGTGTGAGGGTGTGTGTGAGTGTGTGTGAGAGTGTGTGTGAGGGTGTGTGTGATGGTGTGTGTGAGGGTGTGTGTGTGAGGGTGTGTGTGAGGGTGTGTGTGAGTGGGGAGCGGTGGTGTAGCGGTTAGCGCGTTGCGCTACGAACCTGGCGACCCGAGTTCGAATCCCGCTCACGGCCAACAGCAGTGACGATTATCTGAACCGGTCCTGGGCCTCTCCTAGGTCGACTCAGCCTCAAATGAGTACCTGGTGCGGTGTATAAACATCGCCACTGGGGAGACAAAGGTGCCAGAGCGTGGTGCTGGCCACCCACCCCCTCGTGTACCGTTCCGGCCTTCATAGGTGCTCGCTAACAGCACTTGCCCCTACAGTCTGTTAAGGCTACACGGGGGATCTTTATCTTTGTGTGTGAGGAGCGGCAGTCTAGCTACTAGCGCGCTGCGCTACGACCCCGGTGACCCCCCGCTCACGGCAAACACCAGTGAAGATTATCTGAACCGGTCCTGGGCCTCCCCTAGGTCGACTCAGCCTCAAATGGTTCTGACCACCCCCTCGTGTGCCGTGTCGATACGCTCGCTAACAGCACTTGCCCCAACAGCCTGTTACAGGCTATACGGGAGATCTTTGTCTTTGGGGTGGGGGGGGGGTTATTTTCCGGAGCTCAGCTCTGGACAGCTCCAGAAAGAAGTTAAGCCTTGACTCGCCCATTCTCTCGCCCTGTTCCTCGTCTGCTCATCTCCCATGGGGGCTCAGCTGACAAAGACTCATTCCTACCCTCGCTGCGGTTTTGGTTTTCTGCCAGACAGTTGGTGCCCGTGCCGCGTGCGGAGAGGAACTGTTAAATTGGCGCTCTCTGCCACCCACGCTTTACCCCACCACACATGTAACCCACGCTTTACCCCACCACACGTGTAACCCACGCTTTACCCCACCACACATGTGACCCACGCTTTACCCCACCACACATGTAACCCACGCTTTACCCCACCACACATGTAACCCACGCTTTGCCCCACCACACATGTAACCCACGCTTTACCCCACCACACATGTGACCCACGCTTTACCCCACCACACATGTGACCCACGCTTTACCCCACCACACATGTGACCCACGCTTTACCCCACCACACATGTGACCCACGCTTTACCCCACCACACATGTGACCCACGCTTTACCCCACCACACATGCAACCCACGCTTTACCCCACCACACATGTGACCCACGCTTTACCCCACCACACGTGTAACCCACGCTTTACCCCACCACACATGTGACCCACGCTTTGCCCCACCACACATGTAACCCACGCTTTACCCCACCACACGTGTAACCCACGCTTTACCCCACCACACATGTGACCCACGCTTTACCCCACCACACATGTGACCCACGCTTTACCCCACCACACATGTGACCCACGCTTTACCCCACCACACATGTAACCCACGCTTTACCCCACCACACACGTAACCCACGCTTTACCCCACCACACATGTAACCCACGCGTTACCCCACCACACATGTGACCCACGCTTTACCCCACCACACATGTGACCCACGCGTTACCCCACCACACATGTAACCCACGCTTTACCCCACCACACATGTGACCCACGCGTTACCCCACCACACATGTAAGCCACTCTACTTAACTATGATAACTTCAAACTGCTCACATTAACACACACACACGCGCGTACCACGTTAGAGAGTAATAATTGGCCTTTAAAGTACGGGATGATCTAGATGTCTTGTGACCCCCCCACCTCCCCCATTTAATTCTGTAAAAACTTTATGTATTTTTAAAGTAAGGTTTATTTACAACAGAAATTAATATGCAAAGGTAAACAAACATATTGTTGGTTCTTTCGGTAAAGTCACGTAGAAGGGAAATAATAAAATAATAGTTGTATATTTTTTTGTAATAAATAATAAAATAATATTGGCATAATTTTTTACTTTTTTATTTCCCTTCTACGTGACTTTAATTCTAGACTTGAAGCTTTCGTGACTGCAAGGAATCATATTCTTAGGTGTTTTCGGTAAAGTCACGTAGGTAAAACATCAAAATTAATAAAAATAATAAAATAAAATAAAGATCACGACGTTGCCTCCGAAACGTCGTGATCTTTATTTTATTTTATTATTTTTATTATTTTGATTAATTTTGATGTTTTACCTACGTGACTTTACCGAAAATACCTAAGAATACGTGACTTTACCTAAAGAACCAAGAATATGAATCTCTGCAGTCACGAAAGCTTTAAATCAAAAAAAGTAAAGAAACATGTTTGGGGTCAATAAATTAGGGGTCACAAGACATCTGGACCTTCCTGTACTACGACTATGAGCAGTGATATATATCTGGGAGCCCACCCACCACGCCAACTCTCACTGACCAGAATAGTGAAGTATGGTCAATTTCCTCGTCCTCCGTGGAGTGTTAAAGGCATTCTTCCAATAGACGACTGACAAAGGGCTGACATTGTTATTCACGTATCGTTACAGGCCGCACTGTAAGCGATATTTAATGACCATTAAAATATTTACAACAAAAACTGAAAAATGCACGTACAAGTATGAAGCGATGTATCATTTGGAATTACATTGAGAGTAAGGAAGCGGTAGGTTACACGTGCATTCGAAAACACACACACAGGTAACGTCGTGATTCAAACCAAGACACGTCAGAGCTAGCAGGGACGATGATGATGATGGATGGTGACGATTCATAACGGAGTGGCAACCAAAGCATGGAATCATTCCGCGAACACGCGGCCGAGTAGATGGAGCGATGAAATGAGCTAGCGCGAAGGGTGCTAGGCGGATTATCGGATTGCGGGATCATTTACAAGGAGTGGATTGACCGTGGCTGATGAAAACTAATCACGTGGTTGCACGAACGGGGAGTTGTGACAGCACGTGGCGCGCTGCGTTTGCCACGGCTCGCGTCGCCGTGGGATGATTCGTCCCTCCGTCGCGCTCACGACGACGCTGAAAATGACACGTCGCAGAAGCTACACGCGCACTCTACGGAATCTTGTGAGAATTACAGCGGCCAGTGGAAAAGCAACGTTGCCCGCCAAAGGATACAAACCTAAAGATGACTCACAAACTTAGGGCCCGTGTACGCCTGCCAGCGGTGCTGCTAAACTATTGGGGGGGCCCCGAAGCAGAGGGGTCGGCCGGGGGGGGGGGGAGGACATTTAAATTTATAGAAGCCAAGTGAGATGACAGCAGAGATGACAACAGCTATCTATATAGGTCGAAAGTAAAAGAAACGTGGACAAATATGGAGATGTAGTGAGATGAGAGATGCAGGCAAGTTTGAGCGATGGCCGAGATGAATCGGGGTTTATGTCAATGGGCGAATGATTATTAGGATTGAATTTAAGGCAATATCTGATTCACCCTTATTTTTCAAGAGCTGCTTGGGGCCCTACGCGTTTGCTTGCTTTGCCGATACCTCGTATCGCCGCTGAGTTTTGCCAGAGACATACACGGTGGGGGTGAGGGGGGGGTCTGTGTTCTCCCGTACACGTGCAAGAAAACTATAAGGCACCAGCTTACACGATTACGCTTTCGTTTATCAGCCGTACAATCAATTCAACAAACAATCCGAGAGGCAACGAGCCTCCCTCCTCCTCCTCTGCTAACCAAGACGCCCTTTTTTTCAAGTTCAGGGCCTCAGAAAGTGCTTGCGCGCATCTTCCGCGTTGCTCATCAGTCATTTGTCTGCTCGCTTGGCAAATTGAATTAGGGGGGAGGCATTGCCAAGCTATCAGTTGATCGTTTTAACTGGTGTTTAACCCCAGTGCGCCCCCACTCACAATTCAATTAATCACCATGTCTTGAGTCAGTAGGAAACGTATTGCAATTCGATTCAATAATCTATTACTGTATTTTTTTCTACATTTTGGTGGACGTAGAGGCCTCTAGTGGCTGGAATCGTCACGTGAACCCATTGCATGTTATAATGGCCTGTGCAGCTCTTTGTCAATCCACTGCTGGATAGAAAGATTCCCCGATATGTGTTAAAGATCGTGGGTGTTTCATTTACCGTACTTTTGCAAGTTGGCGAATTATCATCACTCGGCACTGATGTTAGCCATGATCAGGAATCGAACTCGGGTCACCGGATTCCTAGCGCAGCGCTGCTAACTAAATGTACCACCGCTCCACGCCCATATGGTGAACATATGATGGAGAAAAAATAAAACATCCGCTTCTTACAAAAGTGATCAGATGGCGTGCATCATGACTTTACGGATTAACCTTTAGCGATTCATCGATGCGTGTGCTTCCTACCCCTACTTAACAATGACAGCAGCCAATCGAATTCTCCCAGGCCACCACGGCCGCTGTTCTGCCATCGCTGCGGAGGGCTTAACGGCCCAATAGTCGAGAAACTCAGAGCCCCAAACGGCCTCCCCATAGCCCAGATTTCCATCTAAAGCAGATCTCAATTTAATGGCAATTATATGACCGTTCAAATCAAATCCACGAAATATAATCCAAATAGATCTGCCAATTAACGGACTTGTAAAAAAATGTACCCTGTTCTGCCTGTACGTGACTAGCTCACGAACTGCTACTCTATGAATGTCAACGTTTCGTGATCACAACTGTTGATCAACAATGAGAGAAGCGGGTAGGCCAAGAAAAAAAACTGGTTGACTTTGAGCAAGAGGACATCTCTGTTCAGAGGTGTCTCGAGTCTACAAAAGGCACCCCGCTGCTGCACGCGCATTACATGCCACCGAGACGGCTGATTACATCACGATAAGTCTCGGAGTTTGTACCTTTTGTACGGCATTTGAATGGCAACTGACAAAACATCGGAACTGCACGCCGATTTTGATCATCCGTTGCATGGCATCGTGAAATTGCCCAATGCGTCGCGTTCCTCGTGCGTAAGAAGAGTACACTGGGCAGTGGACGGGAATGTGACGTTACTACAGATCCCACTTCATTCACCGCAATAACAATAGGGGCCATATTCAGTTGTTTTGTTTCCACATGAAGAAACAAAAGCGAAACTGCCGTGCGTTGCTCAATCATGATCGGGTTAGGCCAGTGTTCTTCACTCATTTTCAGAGTGGGGGCCACTGTCTGTGTGAGGACAACCACACCACCATTTGAAACCATTGCGGGCTTTGACAGCAGCACCACGATGATGATGGGGGTGGTGTTGTCACTCTTTGTGTATTGTCGAGGGGGGAGGGAGGCGCACATCAGGGCCCACAATATTTGTCCACGTGGCCCGCGGGGCCTTGAAATGAAGAACATGGGACTCGGTGCTGACAAACCTCCTCGCAAAGTCCTTCCACGGGATGCGGCGCGTGAAGACGGCGACTGTGAATGTCGTCACCGCTAAGCCGTCCTCCCGGTCACAAGGGGCAACGGCAGCGTCTTGGGGGTCAAAGAGAACTGCGGGTGGGGTTTGAACTGGGAGGGGGAAAATGATCCCAGAATTAGAATGGTTTGCTGGGCTGAACGCTGGTAAACATAATGGGATCGTACAGTGATGTACAATGCTGCCTCCTGCTGGTGTGACCTTGACTAATAGCGTAAAGTCAGGACTCAAGATTGACCGTTTTCTAAGCCAACAATGATGAGTGCATTAATTACAGAGCCATTGGTAAAAGCGTAATAAAAGCAAAAGCCTATCACAGCACTGCGCGAGATTATTTTAATCGTCATGGTCATCATCAGTCATTATCTATCCACTGCTAGGCGAAGGCATGACAAGTCAAATTACCCACATGACATTACTCAACAGAAACGCGGGCACTGGCAAATACTTTAACTTACAAGTAAAGGTTGCAGCCCTGAATTGTCTTGCTCATGCCAATGCTGGCAGAAGAGCTTTCAATCGAGGGAGCTCTAGAGAACCACCCCATCGGGGGTGTTTTTGGCCTACTCTTCCGCACTTTTGAAACTGCAACGTTTAAAACCGCTAGATGTGTTTACGTAAACCTATTGGGTTGTGTGTCAATTTTTTGTTCACAGCCGCGGTCTTTCAACTCCTCCGCCGCTCTTGGGGACTCGTCCACGGTCAAATTGTTCCGTTGTCAAACAGCAACGCACACACGCAGCCTGTGGCAACATCGAGGCAAAGATTCGGCCGTTCCAAAGACATCACCCCGCGCGGCGTGCCGGGGCGAATGGAGGGAAAAAAGGCGGAACCATGGGAAGCGGACCAAGGCCAGGCTGACCGAGCACAGCGGAGGGCTGCACCAAATGTCAACCGCAGAGCCTCCGTGTTTTTTCTTCTTAATCCGATATTTACGTAGCTCGCTCTTCTGTAGATTGCGGTGGTCAACCCAGTGGGCACGCCGTCTCATCGTGACATGTGGTGGGGTAGGCTGCCAACCACAGTCAATTTGGGCATCATTATTAATTTTATTTTGCTCCATCAAATGACAATCTTGTGATTTAATTTAGTCAATTCAGTCTGTGGATTAGATTCAGCTAATTCTCTTCGTCGACGTGACCGAAGCGGCCAACAACGTAGTGTTCTCTAAGCAATTAAATGTTGGTGTGAAAGGGTACACACAGTGCTGGAGTAAGCTAGTGCGGGGCCTGTAGCATACGTTATCAAGGGGCCTTAAACATAAAAAGACGTAAATATTAAAACACAAATTTTTTACTTGCAAAGTAAAGTAATTGTATTTGTTCATTTGCTATACAGCCAGATAATACGACAAATCGCTAACCTTAAACACCCAGTCGTTCGTAAAAGTTGAAGGCGGTATAGTACTATAGTAATAGAGCAAGTGCAGAATCACTGAACCGGAATTGATAGCTTGAAAGCATTTAGCGCGGGGCCCTTGAAAGTGTGGGGCCCGTAGCTACTCCATATGTAGCTACTACATGTGTAGCTACTACATGTGTAGTAGCTACTAGATGTGTAGCTACTACATGTGTAGCTACTACATATGTAGCTACTTTAGCTACGAGGATAATATAATTCGGCACTGCCACCACATACAAGTCAGGCGATAAGTCAACTCAGTTTAAAATAACTTTCATATTGTGTTGGCAGTGGTGCACAAGGAACCATACCTCAACACATGAGGTCACTAACACCAGCTCATCCAAAGAGGAAAAATAATATCGCAGGCAATTATTGTTTTTCCATAGCAGATTTACTGAACTCAGTCAACCATTTTTGCTGAGCTCAGAACATGTTTTTAAGTATGTGCATGTATCAGTAAATTCTCATTTTTGGTCTTCCTCAATGTACTAACAACTGCTGTCGCTTACCAAATCATCTCAGCCCATATCTTCGTTTAGACCAGTTAATTTTGTCTCACACTAGTCAGACAGTCTTGCTTTCATCTTTGATTGACAGCCGTAGCCATCGTCAGCTGACGATTTCCATCCACTCACAGCCACCGTCGTATAAACACTCTGTTGACCAATCTTTCCATCACTAAATTCGTTCAGAAAATAAACACCGCTGCTAATCCACGCCACCAAGGCTTGTCCAATCAGCGCACAAAGCGCCAGCGCCCAAAAAAATCCCATACGATTGGCGCGAGATGATTCAACACAGGTGTTCCACTTTGCCCGTTTCAGGTGTGGGCCAACTGATGTAATCCCAGACTGTACGCGCTTACCACTCGCTGTTTTAAATTAAGTCAACTTTTGCTGCCAGTCGCACAGCGAGCTCAACTCCCCCCCGCGGACTGTGAATCGTCTTGACACCACCGTAGAGAGACAGCTGCATAAGTTGAGGGTCGGGCCAAGTCTGCAGAGAGAAAAAGAGCGAGTCCAGACCTAGTGTCGTCTTCAGCATGACGTCCGTCTTCTTGTGCATGTTGGAGGCAAATTATGGGCTTTGAAAATTGACATTTCTTCTATTCTCATATTTGTACCAGGTCAGGCCCACTAAGTTGTCTAGCTTTTTTTCAGATGACAGCTGTTCAACGAAGTGGCTTATCACGTGCAATTGTATAGCTGCCAAATTCTCTAAACGCAAGTTTATAAACTCCACGTGGTGTGGCCTTGTTTAAAGGGGAACGAGGGGGGGGGGGGCATACAGACATTCAGGGTGGCGGTGGGGGGCAAACAACACAATCCGTGTTCAACAAACGTCAAACAAATGTGTAACGCTTAACAGAACGAGTAACGACAATCTGAGATCTAATTTCGCCCATCCTGCATTCCGCTCTGGCTGTGACCCACTGCCTATTTGATGAAAGGCTGCGACACCCATCGCTTAACTTGTACCAATGCCCAAATGTGTCCCTCCCCCCTCCCCCCTCCAGATGGTGCAGCCAGATTTGTCAGTCGCCTGGTGAAGCGTCCCAAATGAAGGGGATGACTCCGCAGCAGATCGAGTGCCGTCGCCGCAAATTGCGAAGACAACCCGCCACCGGTGTAGGACATCGTGTGGGACATTGTACCAACATTATTTGACTTGGCTATGAAGATTCAGTAGGGGGGCTCGAGCCTTCAGCTCACCCGCACCCCCCCCCCCAACGCTACAGGGCTCGTGTGTCATGTGAGGTTTTTGTATATGTATCAAGAACTTAGTGATAGGTTTTTACCCTTTCAACTGGTATAAAAACTGACACCTTTATATAAGGCATCATGTTTGCAATAACCACAACACAAGCAGTCAAAATGCAAACAAAAAGAAACAACTCTGATAATGATATGCACTGTCCTTGAAGTTGATTGGTCCACACCCGAGACAGCTTTTCTTAGAGCCTAGTCTCCATTGGTGTTGGACCAGATGACTAGGCTCTAAGAAAATCTGTCTCGGGTGTGGACCAATCAACTTCAAGAACAGTGCATATCATTATCAGAGTTGTTTCTTTTTGTTTGCATTTTGACTGCTTGTGTTGTGGTTATTGCAAACATGATGCCTTATATACAGGTGTCAGTTTTTATACCAGTTGAAAGGGTAAAAACCTATCACTATATTTTTCCACTGGTAAAGGAGGTATCATAGTGTAAATATCTAGAACTTCTTTCGCACCGTATGTAGCCAACCGTGCTAATCGGAGGCGGCAGCGGGGGGACGACTAACTAGACACAAGAAGCAGTTCTAACGAAGCGAGTTTTCAATCGAGGTGATTGAACAGTGCACAGCTCCATTGGCTTCGGAAAAATCGGAAGAACGTTCCAGACGGCCGCAGTAGCAGCGCATCTGAAAGCGCCACGCGATGCGGTGACTACCGTCTGTGCAGCCAGAAGCCGCTTCCGCGATGACGACCGGAGTTTCGCTGGGGTGGTTTATGCCCCTGAATTGACGACACACATTTGGGCTCGGTGTGTGAATATCGGGACTGCTGGGCAGCTGGTCTCCATCCCGGCTGCCCTGAAATGCGGGCAGCGTCCTCGCTGTGCCGCTAAGGTCGCTCAAGAAGTAAGACAACAACAGCCTTGGATCCATGCTGAGAAGCCGCCACCACCACCACCACGATCGCAAACAACTTGTTTTTTCAGAGATGCAGGCGCAGCGTGGGGCTACGATTGGTTACATTGTTGCGGGGCGGGGGCGGGTTGCACAATTCGTTTTCTCTCTCTCTCCCGTAGCTTTGGGTCGGATCGCAGAATAATTTATCCCACTCTTTTGGAAGACAAGTTTTTTTTACATTTTCTTGGCGATGCAGTTTAATTTAGGGCTTTGTAATGCGCTTTTCTCCAGTGCGTTTGGCCAATGCACAGTCCACAACACCGCGCTCGCTGGATTGTAATCTGTTATAGAATCAATGACATAGTGCACGACCAAAAAAGAAGGCACGCTCTTGCACGCTGAATAAAGCAGAATGAGCGAAATTGACGCATCCTTTTCCAACAATTCCTAGCAAATTCAAGCTCATGTTTATAAATTGCTCATTCAATTGGCACGGCATGGACAAGACATTGTCATGAGAGTCGATGTTAATAGCAATCTCTCATAGGACTTCCATGGGCTGCCACAAGGGATGGAGTAAATGTGGGACCCGGTGCTGAAATAATTACTCATATTTTCGTTCCCAAAAATATTTTACATTTCTTCGTATTATTTGCTAATCATTTTTTGTTTTGGCTGTCACGGATTATAATGATCAGGCACTGTAATGTTCTGTACGGGCACCGCATTTATAACACAAAGGCAGCGGTATTGCCATTAAATTTAGAATATTATGAATAGGCAATGGCAAATTGGCTTGAGGATAATGAATTATAAATTGTGCATTTACATACGTGATTTCCTTTTTTTTTACACTATGTTCCCGCAAAGATATAAAAATACATTTCAGATCATGACATTCGATGCGAACGCAAGAGCATTCCCTGTGGTGGTGGGTGTTGGGTTCGTGGCGTCGTATTGGGCAACGCTTTGACTGTCATATTCTTAGGTTTTTCGGTAAAGTCACGTAGGTAAAAAATTAATAAAAGTAAAATAAAAAATAAAATAAAAATCAACGATTGCTTGAAACAGCAAGCGTGCTGTGACGGTTCCACCTGAAGACGGAAGCTTGTGTTGCTTCCGAAACGTCGTGATTTTTATTTTATTTTAATTTTACTTTTATTAATTTTATTTTATTTTACCTACGTGACTTTACCGAAACAACCTAAGAATATGAATCCTTGCAGTCACGAAAGCTTCAAATCTAGCTTTGGCTGTCACCACCAGTCATATCATGAATTCTGATTGCCGCATATGAATGATACGTGATGTCTGCATGTCAGGGTTTTACGACTAAAATTTAATATTTAACTTATTTAACTTTGCGGGGGAGGGGGGGTAGAGGTTGCAGTGGTTAAGTGCCCAGTGCTGTGTATCCGGCGAGCTGAGTTTGATTCCCGATTGCGGTTAATTACTAGTGGCCGGCAATAGCTGCACTCCTGTGCCCTCCCGTATAGGTCAAAGTCAGCCTCAAATCAGTAAACGACTCGGTCGCGTAAACGTCCACCTGGGGGAGAAAGCAACGCGGCCAAGCGTGGTGCTGTCCACACCGCCCCCTTGTATGCTGCGCTGGTGTCATAAGGGTCTCGTGAACACGTATGTTGTATGTACGTGTGTATGTTGAGCTTATTTCGCATCGTACGTAGCTAACCGTGCTTTATCCACCGGTCCTTTTTTTACACGGAGGAAATGTGACAGGTAGAAATTTTGCAAATTGGACTTTCTAAACATGGAACAAAGGGAAATGTGTTTTTTTTAAACCCAGATTTTCCCCATGTTTGGACATCTTGTAGTCACGTGACTTTGAAGGTCAACTTTAAGAACGGCCAGGTCCAAATTGGGTGTTCACGTGAACACACGAAATTCCAACGAAGCGAGTCATCATTTTGCCGGTGAAATGGAACCCGCACCAATTTGTCAGCAGACCCTTCCATGGGATCAGGAGACCTTTGCCATGGGGGTGGGGGGGGGGGGTCATCATTGGGTCTTTCCCCCTTTTCAAAGAAGCTCTCCAGCGACGTTTGTTTTTTACTCATTTTGGCTACTAGGGGTTAGAGCTTGTGGGCTTACCCAAACTGTGACAAGTGCGCAGTGCAGGAAAGAGGCGCGGATGGAAGTGGTAAATATTCTTAGGTTTTTTCGGTAAAGTCACGGTTCCACCTGAAGACGGAAACGTCGTGATTTTTATTTTTTATTTTATTTTACTTTTATAAATTTTTTACCTACGTGACTTTACCGAAAAAACCTAAGAATATGAATCCTTGCAGTCACGAAAGCTTCAAATCTAGAAGTGGTAAATAATAAAATCATGGGAGGGCCACGCGCGGACTCACCGCTCTCACCTCGTGCTGTGCGGCCCGGTTCCTAACAGGACACGGACCGGTAGCGGCCCGGGGGTTGGGGAACCCTGGGTTGTAGGAGACTGGGGAAAGTCAGATGCAGCCCAAACGTGGGCTTGGTGTCAATAGTTATACCAGTCGGGTCTCACACACACGCGCGTGCAAATCTACCGGTTTATATGATGCAGCACCAACTTTTGCTTTAAAATACAGGAGGGGAGTGCTTCTTAGAATCTGTAGAATACGGTACGGTGAGACTGTCACCTCCCGCACCCCTCTCTTCCTTCCGGCATTAGGAAGCCCGCTGGGGCTATGCACTTTTCAATCGAGATCGAAAACTCGTTTTTTTAAAGCTGCTTTTTGTGTTTCGTTTGTTGTCCCACCCCCCCGTACCTTTCGATTAGCACGGTTGGCTACGTACGGTGCGAAAGAAGTTCCACATACATATCAGGCCACCATCAACATATCACCAGCACTCCTCTTGGTATTTAAAAATCATGCAACTTACTGTTTACATTGTCGTTCGGTGTTACATGTTCGGAAGACAATGCAATCACACTGAGCCAGTGCATACCTTTCGTGGTATAACCCTAACCAAATGCTATTTGGTTCTTTCGGTAAAGTCACGTAGCTAGAAATTAAATAAAAACAAATCACGACGTTTCGATTGCAACATAAGCAATCATCATCAGGTGGGAAAACCACAGCAATATTTTTTTTTCTTGTTGCAATCGAAACGTGGTGATTTGTTTTTATTTGATTTTATTTATAACTACGTGACTTTACCGAAAGAACCAAAGAGTATGGATTCCTGCAGTCACGAAAGCTTCAAATCAAGATTATTTATCCAAATGATCTGACCACCCTTCAAATACAGATAAATGTCCTCCTTTTGCTGTCCAAACTTTTGGGGCAAACGCTGTTAGCGAGCTCCTGTTAACGTTGAGACGGCACGCGAAGTGGTGGGTGTGTGCGCGCAAAAAACAACAACTCCCGGCCGCCTTTGTCTCCCCAGTACCGATGTTTCCACATCGCAGCCGTCTTACTCATTTAAAGCCCGACCACCTCGGCGAAGACCCGGGAACAGTTCAGGTGATTACCACTGACGATATACCATGGTCAGGAATGGAACTCGTGTCGCCGGGGTCATAGGGCAGTGTGCAAAGCGCTACACCACTGCTCCGCTCATCCGTCATGTACATGCACAGTGGTCCACACATATTGTGTATTTGAATATTCAAACACCTTTGACATGCATAATCAACGTTTTTTGGTTTAGATCGCGTTATTTATAAATGTGTCGTAACCCTCCACCACCCGACACGGCCAATCAGTAAAAAGTGTCACGTTGACAAAAGACAAATAGTTCACTGCTTTAGCCCACCGATGTGTTGAAGCTTGAAACCACAATTGCCCGATGATGCTGGATGCAATTACCAGCGAAACGTCGGACTCAAAAATTGTAAATGTTGTGGTTTCAAGCTTCAACACACCGGTGGGCTAAAGCAGTGAACTATTTGTCTTTTGTCAACGTGACCAGTTTTACTGATTGGGTGGTGGAGGGTTACGACACATTTATAAATAACGCGATCTAAACCCAAAAACGTTGATCATGAATAATATTGGTCGCGAAAGCCTACGTGTTAAACCTTTGAGATGGCTATTTTGAGAAACTGCTGCACTGGCCGGCAAGGTTCTGTGATAGCTCTGCTGGGTGTTCCTTCTTAACTCCGTTCAAGTCAAGCATTCTAAATATTTACACAAGGGTGGCCCTCCCACCACATTAATGCCCCCCCCACCCCGCTTGCTACAATACTCGGGAGAGGCTACAAAGAATCTAGCCGCGTCTGTCACCAACACGTGCGGCAACGTTGCTACGGATGTCCGAGAAAAAAACATCACGAAAAACAATCTCAATTCCTGTTGTACGTAACAGTTGAGCAATTTTCAACACAGAATTATATCTGTGAAGTACATTATGTTTTCGCATACCCAGGGACCTCTCCGTTTGTATTCAGATTTTATTTAACTGTTTTGTGAAAGAAATGAAGAAAAAAAGCTATAAATGTTACTCCCAATATATTTTTTCCCGTTTCCAAGAGCTGAACTCTCAGCATACCAAACCAATTCGGACAAAGCAGGAAATTCCAGACAGCACATGTAACTCACGCTGGCGCCCTTTCGGCCCGCTTTATTGCCAATGTGCACGTGGGGGGTGGGAGGGGGGGCAACTTTCCTTCTGTCGCATCGTAAACTGGAGCAACGAGAGTCTGTGCCGAGATCAGTTTCCTTGCGACACCGATTGTCACGTCCATCGGGTCCGTTCGCGGCCCCCCACCCCCTGCCATCCTCCGCAAAAAAAATATGCCAGTTTACGTTGAAATCTTGACATTAACGCCTCCGTGACTGCAGGAATTCATATTCTTTGGGTCTTTCGGTAAAGTCACGTAGATAGGTTCAAATAATAATAAAAATAAACGAAAAAAACTACGACGTTTTGATCGAAACACAAGCGACCATCATCATTTTTTAAACCTATCTACGTGACTTTGAGACATCTCCTTTACCAGTGGCAAAATATAGTAATATGTTTTTACCCTTTCAACTGGTACAAAAACTGACACCTTTATACAAGGCATTATGTTTGCAATAACCACAACACAAGCAGTCAAAATGCAAACAAAAAGAAACAACTCTTGAGGACAGTGCATATCATTACCATCATCAGAGTTGTTTCTTTTTGTTTGCATTTTGACTGCTTGTGTTGTGGTTATTGCAAACATGATGCCTTGTATAAAGGTGTCAGTTTTTGTAGCAGTTGAAAGGGTAAAACCCTACTACTATCTACGTGACTTTACCGAAAGACCCAAAGAATATCGTTGACATTGAACTGGACTGCCTCTGTAACTGAATAACATCGCCAGCGTACTATCCAAATAAATTGAACGTCGGCCGACGGGACTGATTACATTCTGCCTCTTTATATTCCGCGCGTGCGGTGATGTTGACTTTAGCAATGCAAATACGGAACAATGGGAAGAGGGGGGGGTAAGCAGTGGTCACTGCGCTGTCATCCGACGGCAACCCGCGTTCGATTCCTGGCCACGGCTCCCGTCATCGCCGAGTGACATCTTCACCGGTGATGCCCCCTCCCCTACCACCGTGACCAACCCGCACTCACCAGCGCGGCGACGCGTCGTCAAACAACTCCCACCAGAGTAACTCCCACCAGGTACTTATTTGAGGCTGAGTCGACCTAGGGGAGGCCCAGGACCGGTTCAGAATAATCGTCACTGGTGTTGACCGTGAGCGGGAATCGAACTCGGGTCGCAAGGTTGGCACCAACCGCCTCCCAGGTGCGCGCGCACAAATACGCACGCACGCGCGCACAAACACGCACGCGCGCGCAAACACACACGCGCACACACACACACACGCGCACACACACACACGCCCGCGCGCGCACACACACACGCACGCACACACACACGCACGCGCACACACGCACGTGCACACACACGCACGCGCGCGCACACACACACGCGCACACACACACGTGCACACACACACGTGCACGCACGCGCACACACGCACACACACACACGCACGCGCACACACACACGTGCACGCACGCGCACACACACACACGTGCACGCACACGTGGGTTACGAACGTGACGCGTCACACACGAGAGTGATTGATGAGCACGCGAGTAAAGTCGAGTTTTGGATTTCAAACTCCGTTCGGAGTTGACGGGTAACGTGCGACAGGGGGCTGCAGGGGGGGTTGGGGTTTATATATTTTTTAGCGAGGATGACCTCGCTAATTTTGACATCACGGCATGAGCCGACGACGAGAGCCGGTGTCACTCCCACCCACCCCACCTTCCTCCACCTGCGAGTGCTGCTCAGCTGTGTGCGGTGATCAGCGTGGGGAAAGGAAGGGCGCGTGGAGGGGCTGCAACTGCTGCTGCTGCTGCCGCAGCAATCCGGGTCAGTGGCGTTCGCCCGCAAAGAGCGGCTGGATGAAGCGAGTGCGGGGACTAAAACATGATGTTATAAAAGGGCCCAGAATAAATAAAAAAGCATGTAAATATTAAAACATAAATGTTTAACTTGCATAGTAAAGTCATTGTCTTTTTGCATTTGCTATGCAGCCAAATCGCTAACCTCAAACACCCAGTCGTTCGTAAAAGTTGAAGGCGGTATAGTACTATAGTAACTGTGCAGAATCACTGAACCGGAATTGATAGCTTGAAAGCATTTAGCACGGGGCCCTTGAAAGTGCGGGGCCCGTAGCTACTACATATTTAGCTACTTTAGCTACTGGGATCATCCGGCACTTGGGGGGGGGGCGACTGCTTGCCGATTTAAAGTTTCGTTAACTTTGAACAAATTTGTTGTCGCAAATAGTTACTGAAACAAATGCAGGCGCAACGAAACGTTGCGTTACATAAATTGGCTACGAATGCCAAGCGTTGACCCGGATGTGTTTTTTTTTATATTGTTGTGTATGGCGAGATTCTAATTACACGACAGCTCCATGAAGATTGTGGGTTCAAATCTGCCTAAAAAAGTTAAAGCCTATTTCCTCTTACCATTCGCCCATTGTCGAAAATGAGTCATTCTTGAAATCTAATTAAAACCTGTATTAAACGTAATGACATTCATTAAACTTAAGTGTGCGCATGGGTATGTTCATCTCAATGAATGGATTGAATAACAATTGCCTTATTGTATATGTTAGGTAGTAACTGAAGAGTGAATGCAGCCAACCAAATGCTACCTACGATAGCATGGAGTTTGGGCAGTTCAAAAAATACTCGGCAACCCCAAAGTCAACATTTCAAATTCACCATAATAATACATATTGGGTGTAATTTTGAAGGAAATACATTTTTTGGACGAAATATGGCTTATGGATGGAATAAGACATAAGTCAGTGGTCTGACATGCACGAAACTAAATGCATCATGAACATCCCAGCGTGGACGAAAATTCCACTTTGCATGAGTACGCCTGTCACTGCGGTATTATAAAATCTGGTAATCCAGGCCTCACTGCTGATAAGGCCCAGAATGTTTACATTGGCCCAGAACTTCCTTGCTTAAGCAAATGCTACTCGATCACATTGATGGGACAACAAACAATGCTTTTTATTATTTTTATTATGTCAAGATATAGAATGGAGTTCCGCTTACACGTGCTATTTCATGGGGAATTTCTCCCTTGTCAAGAAAGATGAACACAACACTGACATCTCGATTACATTCTAGATTTGAAGCTTTCGTGACTGCAAGGATTCATACCCTTTGGTTTTTTCCGGTAAAGTCACGTAGGTAAATAAAAAAAAATGAAAACTAAATTAAATTTACGACGTCGTGATATTATTTAGTTGTTTCCATTTGTTTTATTTTTTACCTACGTGACTTTACCGGAAAAAAACAAAGAGTATGAATCCTTGCAAAAAATAAAAAAACAAATGAAAACAACTAAATTAAATCACGACGTCGTGATTTAATTTAGTTGTTTTCATTTGTTTTATTTTTTACCTACGTGACTTTACCGGAAAAAAAACAACGAGTATCTCGATTACAGTCCTGATCGTTCGACGTACAAACGTCCACGTAACAAAGCGGTCACTTCGTGACTACGCCGAAGGTCACCCACGTCTTTAAACTGTCTGCAACGTGCGTCTGGAATTTGTGGAACTGCTTGCGAGTGCTCGCCCTTTGTCAGCAATCTTTGTTGTTTATTTATTTTTCGTGGACGGAGGAGGCAGCAATGGGCTTTGTGGCGCTCGAGGTCCGCTGGCCAACGGAGAGCTGCCCCCCTCCCCCCGCTGCGGAGACGTCGCGTGCGAAGCCCGGGCACAACGGTCGCTCGCTGCAGAGAGAGAGAGAGAGAGACACCCGTACAAAAACAAACAACAACAAAAACATTGAAATCGTTGGTCTACCATGGTTTGTTGGTTTGGAGGCGATTACCATGCAAAGCAACAAACCAGCGGTTGGCTTTGTTTCTAACATTCGGCCACATCATCAGGCTCGTCAGGTTAAGACAAAGCGACGCAGCATCAGTAAAATAATGCCTATTACACAAACGGCTGGGACGAGGCCGCGGGCATTTGCAGGAGCTCAGCAAACGCGGGCGGCACTCTTTACCTCTGCGACATTTTGCATCACCAAATCACGTCTCGCTCAAACAGCCTCTCTGCACGAGGATGCCGGACAGCTCGGCGTGGAACGGTCGGTAATCGCCTCCCAAAAAATAATCGGGTGCCCTGCCGATTCGGCATATATCCGGCAGGAGAAAAACGAAAAGAGGAACAGACTGAGGAAGGCCCGAGCGTGGCTCACCGCCACTGCATCCGCTAGAAGAGGCCAATTTTAGCCGAGCTCCTTCTCGCCGTGGGAATGATGAATTTCTGGAGCAGCTCCAAAACGTCCGTCTTAACCTGCGCACAGAGACAAGGGGCAAGCGCGCGGTAATTCAGTGGAACAAGTGCGGTTAAAAAAACAGAAATATGCACGAATAATTGTTAGTCTGGGCCACTATTATTTACCGCTTTGCATTGCTCGTGCTCGACACCGTGTGCGACTGGCAGAATGTTTGCAAATGTCAGGATTCCGATAGCAAAGTTTTCCATTTGAAACTCTTTTGATTAAAAAAGAATACTTTACTTTCCCCCCGCAATGTCATCTTTGGAATCTGCGGGTGACAGCGCTATTCAATTTGTTTTTCAACGGACAACAAAAGGGGAAACGGACGGACGGACGTGCTCACGACAGCGAAAAGACAACGACGGCGGGGCCTTGCGGCAAGTCGATGCCGCTTCGTCACGCACCGTCGCGCGAGGTTCGTTCTGCAACGAATCCCAATAAAAGACAAAGATCTCCCCCCATCCCCTCCCCCGTATAGCCTTCATCAGACTGTTGGGGCAAGTGATGTTAGCGAGTAGCAGCTATGAAGGCCGAAACAGCACACGAGGGAGTGGGTGGCCAGCACCACGCCCGGCCGCCTTTGTCTCTCTAATGGGTGATGTTTACGCACCGCACCAGGTACTCATTTGAGTCGTATGTTGAACTTATTTCGCACAAAGATTGTTCATCTCAGCGCCAATCAAAACAAAATGTTTTTAATTCCCTGAGCTGGAATAAGCCAAATATAAATCGTTGCACCTGATGAGTTAAATGATGACGTCACCCTGCTGCTGCTCTATTTAAGACCGGGAGACAGAGCAGAGCCTCACCATTATGGCGAATTGCCCGATGATGCTGGATGCAATTACCAGCGAAACGTCGTACTCAAAAATTGTAAATGTTGTGGTTTCACGCTTCAACACACCGGTGGGCTAAAGTAGTGAATCATTGGTCTTTTGTCAACGTGACACTTTTTTGCTGATTGGCCGTGTCGGGTGGTGGAGGGTTACGACACATTTATAAATAACGCGATCTAACCCAAAAACTTGATTATGAAAAAAAAGTTGTTCATTGTTGTTGTTGTAGTCATTGGTGACTGGAACAAGACAATGCAATTTCTCCAGTATAAGAATAAGTTTTACCCTTAATAAAACAACTCTTTTATTCCATTGGAACCTCATTTGCCAGTAAAAAATATAATTGTTTTTTTACCCTTCTATCTGGCAACAAAACTGACACCTTTTTTACAAGGAGTCATGTTTGCATAGACCACAATACCTGCAGCCATAATGCAAACAAAAAATATAACTGATAATATATGCACTGTCCTTGACCAATCAACTTCAAGAACAGTGCATATATTATCAGTTATATTTTTTGTTTGCATTATGGCTGCAGGTATTGTGGTCTATGCAAACATGACTCCTTGTAAAAAAGGTGTCAGTTTTGTTGCCAGATAGAAGGGTAAAAAACATATGCTCAACTTATTCTTAGGTTTTTTTCGGTAAAGTCACGTAGGTAAAAACATTAAAAAGTAAAATAAAATAAAAATCACGACGTTTCGGAGGAAACACAAGCTTCCGTCTTCAGGTGGTACCGTCACAGCCACGACAGCTGTATCAAGTAAATGAGTTTACGTCGTGATTTTTATTTTATTTTACTTTTTAATGTTTTTACCTACGTGACTTTATCGAAAAAACCTAAGAATATGAATCATTGCAGTCACGAAAGCTTCAAATCTAGAAATATTATCAACTCTTTTATTGGCATAAAGGGTCGCACCTATTCTTAGACTTTGATGCTGGCAAGAAAGGTACCAAAATTGCTCCACTTGAGAATCATGTTGAATCGTGGGCCGACTGTCCAGGTTTTAAAGTCAGGATCTCATCAGTGCCAGCTCAGTGCACCGACCCTTGAGCCACTCGCCCCACCTCAGTCTGTAATCTGCGCACTTTTTACACACTTTTTTATTACACGCTTTTATTATTACACGCTTTAATTTAACTCACACTCCGTCTGTTGTATCCTCAAAAAAAAATATTGTAACTCAATTTTTACCCACTTCCCAATGTGCTATCGACTGCTAAACTTGAAATGCCTACGTCATACTGATGACAATACTATATTCTAGCATAAAAATCCAAAACATATATTTCTTAACATTTTACACGCTTTTATTTAACTTACTCTGTGTGTTGTCGTATCCTAAAATCTTGTAACTCAATTTCAACCGTATTCCCAATGTCGTATCGACTGCAAACTTAATATAGGTATGTCATACTGATGACAATACTATATTCTATCATTGAAAATGATAAATAAATATTTTCAAACGATCTTTTTTACGGTTCTAATTGTCCACGCTCAACTCACGTTGCCTGTAAATCACCACGTGGTCCCTTACGTCACGGCAAGCCACGGGGAGCCACGCCGAGGGGCGGGGGATGTGGAAGGAGGGGAGGGGCGATGGGGGAAGGGGGCAGGGGTAGGGGCAGCTCGGACAGTACATGTCATTAAAGCGTGTTTAAAAAAAGTATTTTTCAATATTTTATTGTTATTATGTCTCTGGCCAGGTGACACACCGGTTAAACATCTTGTGCGAAGTTAAAGTTTGATAAAAAAAGCATGGTTTAAAAAAAAAAACACCATTAAAAGTTAAAGCAAGTGGAGTTTAATCAAGAGGTTGCGAGTTCAAACCAGGGTCAGAGGTTGACTTTGCCATTCATCCTCCACCCCATAGTTGATCAATTAAGCGCTACTTTGTTGGGATCGTGGTTGTCTCGAGTATAGATTTATCCCCGACCATATGATTGTGGAATTTCCACATCTTGACTCAGGGTTGTAGAACAGGAAATTGGCACTGCCAGGGAGAAATAAACTTATTTTGCTGATTTAGACTCACAAAGTCGAAAAGCAGTCTCAAAAGTTTGCCTTTGCAAATCACGTTGCTGAGAAACGTGGGTAACAAAAATATTACGTGAACGATTTCATTTTTGGTGAAGCAGACCAACGTTTTAGGGTTTATTTATCAATTAATATTTATTTGAATGTCCTGTCATTTTTAAAGATAACTTTGCTGCTCACTGTCGATAAGGCTTACGACAAAAAAAAATCAAAATATTTTCTCAAAACATTTCAGCTGGAGGCGCTTGCACAAATCTACGTCGTGCTGCCCGGCCATGTTTACTCGCAGCCTTCAGCAAAGTTAAAACAAATTTGAAATGGCACGACGCGCTAACCTGCCTCCAAATACACTCCTGACCGGCCGGGCTGCAAGAGACCTCATTATGCCCTGCTGACGTAATCTCATCCGGTCAAAGGAAGACACCGCAGGGTTCTTTATGCCCGGGCTTTATAAACACCGCAGCAACATATCCGATTAGGATATTCTATTTATATAGGAACCTAGAGGAAACCAAAACAAATCCTGTAGGAATCTTAAAGGGGTTGCAGTTTTTTTTATTGAAACATTCCTTTAAGGATCCTCTATATCAGGGGTCGGCAACCAAAATAACAAGAAGAGCCATTTCTTTCCAATTCGGTACAAAATTCAGTATTTCAAGAGCCGCAATGCATCTGAGTACATACGTACTCATCGTCAAGAAGCAGCCCGTAAAGAGCCGCATGCGGCTCCGGAGCCGTAGGTTGCCGACCCCTGCTCTATATTATAGCGGGATGTCAGCAGCGCGTTGGACTCGCAATCCGGAGATCGCCGGTTCGATTCCATCTCCCGGCGCGGAAGCTGAAGAAATGGTGCCAAGTTGCTTAAGTATCGTTGCCATAAAAATTAATTTTAACGAGTGAATCGATTAATCGTTACATGACTTGGCCTTGGTAAAAGCCACACGCTGTCCTCGACACACAAGTCCGTTCAGATGAGAGAGGGGGGGAGTGAACATCGCTCACTCAACGACAATCCCTCAAACCTTATCCTCGCAGCAGCAGCAGCGGCTTGTGGCTAAACCATGGAGCAAAGACGGTTACCGAGTCGCGCGCTTTCGGATGCGCTTCTGCGGTCGTCTGGAACGCTCTTCCTTCCGACATTAGGAAGCCGCTGGAGCTATGCAATTTTAAATCGAGATTGACAAACTAATTTCTTTACAACCGCTTCTTGTGTTTAGTTTGTTGTCCTTCCCCCGCAACCTCTCGATTAACACGGTAGTCTACGCGCGGTGCGAAAGAAATTCAACTTACGTACATGCAAATCTCCCCCCTCCCTCCCCCTTCTCTGAACTCCCCCGCCTCTGTCCACCAAGCGGCGTAAACTGAGCACCACGGTCGATCGACATGTTGATCATGTTGATCGACATGTTGATCGACATGCTGATTGACATGTTGATCGACATGTTGCGTGTGGTGGGGTAAAGTGGGGTTATCGTCCCACCTCTTTCAAGATGTCTGGAAGAGTGGGCCAAAAATAACCTCTGAAGGCCATTTCTCCACTTCCACCATTACCCATGCACGGGCAACTTCATGACTCTTCTTGGAAGAGTATAAAAGGGAATGAGAATCACAATGGATAATAATTGTACACAAGGCAGCCGCTATCCTGGTTAAGACGTCGTGGTTCTGAGAAAGAACTAAAAATAGTGCTTATAAATAGGACGTTTGGCACACTTGGAGCGGAGGGGGGTGTTTACAGACTCTCGGTGTTTGGCACCGTAGCAATGAATCGAAACCCTCCGCGGCAGCAATTCAACATTAGCGAACACGGTACGGCACACGTCACTTAGCTCTCGGTGCTAATACGGGCGCACGCACCGCTCATCAGCACGCGGACGATGGTGCCGTTTAGTTATAGCTTGCAATCAGCAATGGCGCGCATGTGCTCACTTGTGGTGTTCGTGTATGGGGAGTGGGTGGAACGGTTAGCGCTGCACCGCTGCTACGAATTCGGCGACCCGGGTTCGATTCCCGCTCATGGCCAACACCGGTGACGATTGTCTGAACCGGTCCTGGGCCTCCCCTAGGTCGACTCAGCCTCAGATGAGTACCTGGTGCAGTGTGTAGTAAACATCGCCACTAGGAAGACAAAGGCGGTCGGGCGTGGTGCTGGCCAGCCACCCCCTCGTGTGCCGTGCCGCCCTTCTTAGGTGCCTACTCGCTAACAGCACTTGCTCCTATAGTCTTGTTAAGGCTATACGGGGGATCTTTGTCTTTGTGTATGGGGAGCTGTGGTGTAGTATTTAGCACTGCACAACAAATCCGGCGACCCATGTTCGATTCCTGCTCACAGCCAACATAGCTGACGAATATATGAACCGGTCCTAGGCCTCCACGAGGTTGCCTCAGTCTAAACATCAGCAATGGGGAGACAAAGGCAACCGGGCATCAAGTTGGCCACCTAGGCCCCTCGTGAGCCATGCCGGCCTTCATAGGTGCTCGCCAACAAAACTTTCCCCGACGGCCTGAGCAAGGCTACACGGGGGATCTTTGTCTTTGTGTGCGCTCAGCGAGAGGAATACCTCGGGGATGTCAATCAGACGACGCAGCTTCTGGTCTCTCCAGTTCCAGTCCAACACAAGGTACTTGAGGGAGTCGAGCGTCATGCCATCTGCATCGCAAGACAACGAAAGCAAAGGCTGAAGAATGGTCATCGGTGGGGGTTCTCCGGTGTTTCTTTCGGGTTGTCGTGTCGCGTGTTTGTTGTTGTCCGACGTTTCACTCCAAGCGTCCCGTGGGGAGCTGTCTCACCTCCTGAGCAAGCTCCGAGTTGCCACTGTCACTGGCCACGAGGGCTGCAGTGCGATCATTTCTCACGATACAATATCAAAATTCACGACGTGACAAATATCGCGATGACCAGTTTCCCATGAGTTTGCCATTTTTTTCTTCTTTTTTTTTCTTTTCTGGTATGAATACAAAGACCACTTAAACGTTCTTCAGCTGCGGTTAATTCAACATAAGCCTGCGAATGTGGCAAGCAACAAGAGGCAACTTTACAATCAAAAACGCAAATACTGCCAGTCGCACAACAACACTTCTCGGACCAGGAAGACGATGATGCCGTATAACCGCAATGCTCCTCAGTCCCTGAAGAAGCTCACAGGACGTCGTGCCAAACAACATGCAGCATAACGTTGGGACAGCTAATGAAGGACAATCGCGAAAACCTACGCAGCGGTGTAACTTGCACTGCTGAAGCTATTTGGGAATATGATGCGTGCTGTGTTGTCGACAAAACGGCCCAAAAATATGTGAATGCAGCCCGCTCTCTCGTCGCGTGCTCAGCCCCGCAGAATTGTAATAAGCGCTAACCGAGTTGCTAATCCTCGCAAAAAAATATTATTTTAAAATGCGTAATGTGGATTACAAACTTACAAAGAAAAGCATAAATTGAAAAGTATAAATTGCAGAAGCCTAAAGTTGTCTCAAAGTATAATTCAGCTAAAGCAGTTTTATATGGTTACTTATTTTCTGTTATCATGCAAGGAAGAAATGCACACCGACAATAAACTACATGTACCCTTTTTTACGTTCAAGGCAGCAGAACGACGTTCAATATTTTAAGAGACGATGCTTGATTTTAGCAAAGCGAAAGAAAAAAAAATCCAGATTACATATCAGACTCAATGGTTTTATATATATAAAAAATATATGTACAAAAATATATATATATAAAAACCTCCCCGATGATTCGGCATGTCTGAGGTGAACTCCAGAGTGACCCACGCTTGTAAAATAATTCTCGACGTTAAAGCCAAACGGAAGGGCCCACGGTAGCCATTGAAATCCCTCAATCCGAATCCGTCCGCCCCGCGGGACGTCGGCCAATCTCTTAACGGCGTGGGGGCCCCCAACCATGAGGCCGACGACATCAAGGTGGGGGGGGGGGGGGGGCGGCCAGGGTGGACGCCGCGGGCACGTACCGAGGTCCAGGATTTTTTTGATGCGTCCGGGAGTGCCTGCGGCCAGGTGTACCGGCAGCTTTGCGAGCGAGGCAATCTGCTCCTCCACCTGCACCCACGTGAGCACACACGACGCAGGACAAAAACGGCCCTCCGCTCAGAGCAGGCGACACAGCATGACCACCATCACTGCTGCTGCTGCTGCTGCTGCAATCATCATCATCGTCATTATTGATGTTCTTCCACCTGTGAACACAACGGCTGGAACTACTCTACCCACTGACGATGCAACGAGAAAACCTTATCTTCTATTCAATCATGTTTTTCTTTATATTGTAGTCTATGAGATTTCAAATTCTGATGATTAAAAAAACAACATTATTTTATGATACCGTTACTGAATGGCAATGTATAATAGATGTTTATCTCGTTAAATGTTTTTATTGCGATAAAAAAATAGATCGACCAAAAAAAAAATGCTCCTGTTGCAACGTTGGCCTGCGGCATTTCCGACTGTGGCCCACCCACCATCTCTTACGAACCCAGTGGGGAGAACTTTAATGTGTGCGCCTACTGGTTCTGTATAACAGCGCAGTATATCATTTGCACCTGCTCCTGAATGTTTTTCGACTACTGCGTACAATTTTTCACCTTCTTTTGTTCACATTCACATCTTTTCTACTTCTATTTAAAGCTTTCGTGACTGCAGGGATTCATATTCTTGGTTCTTTCGGTAAAGTCACGTAGAAGGGAAAACAGAATTTTATTGTTTTAGTTTTTATTATTTTATTGTTTTACCTTCTACGTGACTATACCGAAAGAACCAAGAATATTTTTTCTACTCTTTTCGTGTCCTGTCTCCCCTTTAGTACTTCAGTCGTCGGTACTGCCATTTTTTTGGTGTCTTCGATTTGTCACGACTTTATTTTGTGTGTCCGTTCTGCCCATCTCACTCTGCTCTCCGTCACATCACCTACTTCCCCTGTGTCGTCTCGGTCCAAGAATGAACTAAGAAATATATTAATTGCGTAATTTGAAGTAATATTTTTTTTTAGCTGCAAACCAATTTGATGGGTCAGGAATCAATTTTCCTTACACGTCGTTCCAGCCCGCTTGAACAGGGAGCTCTCTCCTCCTCTGCTTGTTGCCATCTCTCAAATCACTTCGACCAGTAACGTCGTCGCAATTGCCTCTGTCGCCTTGAGAATTCGAACCCGGCATCCTCTGCTCGGGATGTGCACGCTTACCCATTTGTGCAACTTCCGAAGAGGTAGCCACGTTTGGCTGCTTTATAAATACAAATTGTCTTATATTGCAAGCGTGACACCATGACCACCATGAACACTGATCTGTTCTTCTTCCTGTGAGTAATCCTATCATACTGAGCAGATTCTTGTCACTGGTCAGCCAACACAATACAACACCACAACTACCACTATTACGACTGCAATCGTATTCATCGTCAGGATCATCAGTGATCATGATCACCATAATCACCATCGTCATCATCATCACGTATGCCCGTCGTCATCATGGCCACGTTCAGTGCAAAATAATTTCAACATACACGCATCACCATTCTGTTCTTTTATCTGTGAAGATGCACCAGATTGACTGTGTCAGAATCATCACCATCATCATCATCAACACAATATCATCATCAAGAATCAACATCATCGTCAAATCACCGGTCGTCCTCAATTCTTGCGCCTACGTTTCGTGTACCACACACCGCGTGGAACGAAGAATCGTTATGAATCACGCCAGCAAGATGAGCGATGTCAGAAGCGGCAGTGACTGACTTGGTACCTTAATGTGTTTGGAGAACAGCTTGGCCACTCTGCAGTCTCCTTTGAAAGCTGCCGCTTGTCTATAATAAAACGGCACAAGAGAAGGCGATAAAATACCCGCATGCTGCCACTGCGGGAGCAGCAGGTTTCAAAAGAGCATTCCCGTTAACTGTTATGTTTTCGTCACGCAATCATCTGCAGCAGTCGATCATATCACTGTAATTATTATCCGTTAATAACTCAAAACGACTGTTTAGCAATAAACTGCAAGTGGTTGAGGAATATGCTGGAAGTGCAACAATAATGTTTTGATATTCCAGCATGAAATGCATTTCTTTAGCCATCCAGCTTTTTGCAAGGTGGCTTCAAATATTCAACGTGTGTTGTGCAAAGCATCATTCAGGTTTCCGTTGCATCCACATCACATACAGAGATTATGGCCACTTTGACAAGGGTACGCTACGGTACTGGAATATTAACAAAGATTACTCTGCTCATTGTTATGATTGTAAATGGGTCCTCGCAATTCATCAACTTTGTTCGGCCCAACCACCATCAGCTATGATCGATCCACTGCTGGATGAAGCCCTACCCGAAGCAGTTGCCATCTATCATGGTCCCGCGATGTAGCAATCCGCCCAGCAGTATAATACGCTTCCGCTTATTAAACTTTTAGTTCATTTAGTAAATGGATTCTTAAAAATATATTCATAATATAATTATTTGTATGCCGAGTGTCTGCTCCTGTACAGCGCTTTGAGATCTTTGATGAAAAGCGCTTTATAAATGAAATCATTATTAATAGTACCCGTACAAGACCTAATTTCATTACTCCATCTCCTCGGTTGGACATCCTTTCGGACACGTTAATTCGTTGTCTGCAAACTGCGTCGCTATTCTTCACCATCGTCAATGACAATTGTAGCGTCGTGTCCTGGCCAACCTCACTGACTCCTGAATGACGATGGCATGAATCTGCGCATGTTCTCTAGTCCACGCGTTCCTCATTCGGTCTTTCAGTGCCATTCAAGCCTCAATCTCTCCGTGCATCTCTGCAGACTTTTCAGTTTTTATTTTATAAATGTGTCGTTAACCGCCACCACCTGACACAGCTAATTAGTAAGGTTTGTCACGTAAACAAAACCTGCATTAAGTTACGAGTATAGCACACCGGTGTGCTGGAGAGTAAACCCACAACATTTACGATTTTCAGTTTTTGTTCAAATCTTCTTCTTCGTGAAAGCGACCACGTCTCTGAACCGTACGTTTCTGCCGAACCGTTCCGACGAACAAAAACAAAAATAAATCCCGACGAGATGTCAACGCGCACGCGAACAGACGAGCGGGGCGAGCGAACGATGGGCCCACGGCGCCTGACACCCCGACCCCACCTCATGACATCGAGGGCCCTGAGTGCGGAGCTGCATACGACGATCGCCAGTGGACGCTTGGTGTCCGTGTGGCCGCGCCACAGCTTGGCCCACTTGGGGCATACTGCACGCGCCGCACAAAGGCAAGCAACACGAAGGGCCGGCGGCGTTACACCGACAAGTGCGCATGTTTTTTTCGAAACTCTCGCCCAATTGTCACTATCGCGATGGCCAAGTAGGGTTGTCACGATATCACGTTTCACAATTTAACGCGTAGGCGTTCGCGACAAACATCATCCATGATAAAGGTTGTTGTTTTTTTGTGTTAGATCACGTACAATATGGTATTTAAGAATATAATGATTATCACAATATCAGTTTCCCACAATTTTGCATTTATTGCTTTGTGTTTGTGCTTTTGCTATAACTTTGGTACACATCAAATATTACTAAAATTTCTCCAGCTGCAGCAACATAAGCCTGCCATATCACACAAGTCTTCCAATTGCTGCAACCATAGATTCGATAACGCACATGGCTGCCAGTCAGACAAAATCCGAGAAACAATGAACTCTGAAAATGATGACGTCATGTAGCCGCCACGCCATCAACGACTCCAAAAAACATTTTGCCAAGCGCTCATTCAATTCAATCTTCATGTGGGGCTTTCCCACCTGATGACGGCACGCTTGTGTTGTGCCAGAAACGTCGTGATTTATTAATTTTTTATACCTACGTGACTTTACCGAAATAACCAAAGAGTATGCTCATTCAATTCGTTAACGATTGAGTCTGTTAGTTCATAACTAGAAATAGTCAAACTCAATATTCGAGAAAAATGTCACAAACAACAATAATCATGTGACAATATTTTGAATCCAAACGATTACAATTACCGTGGATCTTATATCGTTGCTATGCAAAATATTTGTTTTTGGGTTAGATTGGTTAAGTATAAATATGTCGTTAACCCACCACCACCCCATACAGTCAACCAGTAAGGTTTAGCACGTAAACAAAACTGTGCCAATTAGTTACTACTTCAGCCCACCTGTGTATTGGACAGTAAACCCACAACATTTACAATTGGAGAACTCTGGACGTTTCGCTGATAATTACATCCACCATCATCATCGATGATTTACTGTTCAACACACCGGTGGGCTAAAGTAGAAGCTAATTGGCACGTTTTGTTAACGTGACAAACCTTACCAATTGGCTGTGTCGGGTCGTGGTGGGTCAACGACACATTTATACTTTTGCGATATAACCCCAAAAAAACCTTTATTATTAATATAATCGTGGTCGCGAAAGCCTACGTGTCAAATCGATCATTGCTCTGTATGGTGGTGGAGGTTTCATACTCTTAGGTTTTTTTTACCTACGTGACTTTACCGGAAAAAAAGTGAAAAAAACTAAATAAAATCACGACGTCGTGATTTAATTTAGTTGTTTTCATTTGTTTCATTTATTTTTTACCTACGTGACTTTACCGGAAAAACCTAAGAGTATGAATCCTTGCAGTCACGAAAGCTTCAAATCTAGAATTAGGTGGTGGAGGTGTTGTCATCATCTTGCGGGGACCTCCACTGGCCACCAGTGCCCTCTGTAGATGCACGTGCCCTCTCCGCATTGCCAATGGCACCTCAGCCACTTGCAATTCAACTGCAGCACGTACGGTAGCCACTGCGCAGGGCATCCCGGAATACTTTTTTTTTTAAGTTGGTGGATCATGACGGGCAATATTTATAAGCAATTCCCCCAGACAGAGTGCCCTACGACCGGTATATAAATTTGGCTGTGGCTTCATTACAACGTTGCTAACGATGACTTAAGAGTACATATATAGTTACAGTTTACGACCGTGAATTACTGTGCATTGCATAAGTCACTTTTGTAACGGGATACGCGACCTCTGGAAGATCTTATAAAATACTGAAATTTAAACCTAGAGCCTTTTACTCTTTGGTTCTATCGGTAAAGTCACGTATAAATATAAAATAATAAATTAAATACTAGCATACGACGTTTCGATCGCAACACAAGCAATCATCATCAGGTATAAATGAAATAGAAACACAAATCTAGTATACTTAGAAATGTAATGTAATACAACAGAGAGTCGGATAACATAACAGTCAAAACGAGCCCTTTGCCAATCCACTCCTGGATGAAGGCCTCCCCATACTGTTGTCAGTCACTGGGGTTGTTTGACAACAGTGCGGATGATTGGTGAAGTAAGGACCCACGGACCGGTCCAGACGTCACTCACGACCAATGTTAGCCATGGCTGGGAAATCAAATTCGGGTCGCGGGGGTTCACAAGGGCAGCGCGCTAACCAATGCTCGCCACTGCTCCACCGAAAAAGGTGGTGTTGGCCCGAACATCCGATGTTACCGCCCAACGAGTCACTGACCTTCCTTGAGGTAGGAAGACACTGTGTGCGTCGCGTCGCTGGAGGGCAGAAAGTTTGCATCTGCAATACAGTATAGCGACTTCACATTGCAAACTTGAGCTCACCCCGACGGCCAGAGTGAGGCGCTAACAACACGCGTAAGACTCGCGAACACCATTGTTTACGCAACTTCTCACAGTGAATGCGCATTATTCTGGGAGGGAACCCGGTGCCTTTGGGGTCGGAGATGCTGAGCTGACCACTCTCGAGGTATTGGGTTCAAATCCCGTGCTTGAGACGGCTTCTGAAGTGCCAGCGAGGTGAATGGTCTCAGTAATTGGCTGCATTAAAACAGCTAGCTGATATTGGTTTTCTGCTTAATTTGAGCTAAATGTCATCTCTCGGAATTCAAAAATGAAAATGATCAATTGACTGTCATTGTGTGAGTAAGAGAGGTTACTTGAAGTGATTTTAGAAGTAGTTTTGTGATAATGAATCTACTTCCACAGGCTGTTCCCTCACACAGTGAGTTGTACATCCATCATCATCATTAGCTGCTGCTATATCCACTGCTGGATGAAGACCTCCACACACCAGTCACCTATCCCTCATGGGTCAGTGCTGCTCCAATCCATTTCACTTATGCACGTAAATTGATCCCAGTCGCTCCATCTCCCGGCGCGGTCACCCTCCTGGATGCGTTCTCTCCTTTGGCTCGTCCATGGGCCATCATCATCTCTATCGAGCGACGCGACCTGGTGATGGGCCGCTCCGCGAGTTAACGTTGCCGCACGGCGTAACACCGACGTCACATTTGTAAGAACATTCTTGAGGAACACATCAGAATATCAAATATCCTGGACTTGTATGTCCAGGGAGGGTCTCCTTCTGAATGAGCTGGGAGCACAAGAGACAGCAAAACGCTACCACAAACATCCCGGTTGGCCCAGGACAGTCACAGTTTCATGAATGCTGTTCCAAGCTCGGCCCATGATAGGGCAAAGTGGGGGAGGGGGGGGGGCTACCTGAGTAGTGGGCGGTGGGTGGGGTGGTCAGAGGAGGAGTAGGTGGTGAGTCCTATGAGCAGCAGACGGGGTTAACGTCAGAAAGAGTGAGGTCCGGTAGCGTAACGGCCGTGGGGGCAGGGGGTGCCTTACAAGCCCCCCACTAGTGGCCAAAGCTACGAGTTGGGGCCCCCTTGACAACCACCATGAGATTTGTTTTCAACAACAGTCTCAAAGAACAAAAACGTACGTAATTATGTGATTAGGCAAGAGGAGGTGCGATATATATTAGCCTAGGTGTGACCGTGCGAGACAAATTAAATATTGGGGCCCCACCGTGGCCGATTGCTGCACCCCCCTGAGCTGATGTCGTTCACTACGCCACTAGCAAGGTCACTGTGTGGGGGGCGAGGGTAGTGGTCGAGTGGGCATGCCAATGTAAAAGTGGACGTTGACTGCCGGCTCACAAATGTCTCCCTGGTTAAGCTTCCCAAGGCATTTGGCATGACATTCGTCTGCCACGGCATATCTCACCGGACAGGGCCATCTCCTCCATCTCGACCACAGAGAGCATCCTTGGAAGTGGGCGAGCAGACATTGCCGCAGGTCTTCGGGTTTCCCTCTTGCAGGCTCCGAGGCCGCCAGCACGTCCGTGATCGTCTGCAAGGCGAGCAACGTGGGACATGGGACACAGGACGCGCGTTCGAGCGATTGAATCATCATCGGATGGGCACGGGTCTAAGAATGCTGACGACAGCAAATGTGTGGCGCAGGTAATCTAAGGTTGAAAAAGCGTTCATGCGTCAGCTCTGTTTGTCTGTTACAGGAAAACACAATAACTATTGGGAAGATGGATCCAATATCGACGGAACTGCAGGATAAGAGTTGTGTCGTTATTGGAGTCCCACATTATGAAAAACTGGCCAAATTTTTATAAAAAAAGTATTACCCAAAGCTTGAAGACAAAAAAATAGCATAAACCACACTGCCATCCTAACCCCCATTGCCTCCCCCCCCCTGAGAAATGTAATGGAACTGAGATCCAAGATCATTTTCTCAGATCTCTAGTACTGCACTTCTTGGTTAAAAACATTTATTTAAAACATGCATTATCATGGATCAGCTGACCAGGCATTGTAGATTGACTGTAATTGTATTTGTAAAGAGTAAATAGTCAGGCTGAACCCATGCTGAGCCGTGGATTCCAACTCAAGTTTTGTCCATAATAAAGTTTTTGGGGTTAGATCGCGTTATTTATAAATGTGTCGTAACCCTCCACCACCCGACACGGCCAATCAGCAAAAAAGTGTCACGTTGACAAAACACAAATAGTTCACTACTTTAGCCCACCGGTGTGTTGAAGAGTGAATCCACAACATTTACGATTTTTGAGTCCGACGTTTCGCTGGTAATTGCATCCAGCATCATCGGGCAATTCACCAGGAGTTTTGTCGCACGCAGCGAGCTAACCCGCTGAGGCGCCACCGCACCAACACCGCCACACACGTACAACATAAATCATACGTGTAATGTATTCGTAATGAGTAGAACATTATAAAGTCCTGAAATAATAAACTACGGGTTTAGGTCACTGAATGCTCACCAGGGAAAATAACATACAAGAGTACTTTTATGGACAAACACCCTGCTGGAGAACTGGCAAAAAGCCTAAAAGTGTTGAGGAAAGGCAAGGCAATGGACAAACACGGCCGCCATTTTGTTTACAAGTTGCCTCCAATTTAAAAAAAACAGATGGCTCCCCCCTCCTCCTCCTCACTGTAACTCTGGATTAACTTGCACACCAGAGAAAACAAACTCCACAGTTTGATCATCCTTTGAATGATAATAGTGCACTTGCATTCTCTACCAACTGCGTAGATATAGAGTATACATATTTCTCCTGATGGGCACGAAAGGGGTTACTAGAATTCTTGATTGTGCTTTTTTATATGTGGGCGTAATGAAAATTAATGAGTCTTGTAGGATTTCTTTGAAGGAGTTGGTACATTGCTATAATTTTTTTTTAAACAAACATGAACTAATGTAAATGTGTGTTACTAATGTACACACATAGGCAGTAAAAACACGGGACTGAAGATAATTATGGAAAAATGTGAAGCCATTTTTTCTACAAGCAGACCAATTATAATAATTATGTTTTAACATATACAGTAGTGTATATCTCGAATGTATAGCTGTGTTGGTTTAAATTTTGAAAAGGTCTTCTAAGTAATAATCATGTTCTTTATATACAAAGGAAAGCCTTCAATAAGTCTCACGATGCTCTTTCATGAGGGTCAAGCATTAGAATGTTTGGCCAATCCATTAAGAGTTCGGCATGTGGAAGAAAACCAAGTACTTGGGAAATACTAAAAGCTCTGCACAGATGCATTCAATGGACCAATGCTAAACTGCCATCTCCTAGCTACCTCGGTTACCCCAAGTCTACAGGCAGTTTCCCATCCAAGTACTAGCTGGAGTCAACCCTGCTTAGCTTCTGAGACCTGACAATATTGGGTACATTTGGGGTGATCTGGTCTGATAAACCACTTTGTTGTCATTTGTGGCCAGGTCGCTTCTGGGAAATAAGGTAAGAGCTCGGTGGGCTTTACGTGGTAAGGTAAAAATAGTTTAGTTTTATTTGTAATGTATTATTGTGTCCGTCGTGCAGGGAGGGGCTGGGTGGGGAGGGTGGGGCTGGGTGGAGAGGGGAGGGTGGGAGGGTGGGGAGGGTGGGGAGGGGCTGGGTGGGTTGGATGACGAAGGGCTGGGTGGGGAGGGGCTGGGTGAGGAGGGTGGGGAGGGGCTGGGTGGGGAGGGTGGGGCTGGATAGGGGGTGGGAGGGGTGGGGCTGGGTGGGGAGGGGCTAGTCACCCCGTGGTGCCCTTATAAAATTCAACGTTTAACCTACTCACGCCAGCTTGTGCCCGCCCTCACAGTCGGCCATTTTTGCGGAATTCACCACGCCGCCGTTGACCCTGGCCATTGACCAAGCAACCCAACGTTTCTACTAGCTCCCTCCGCAGGAATGTGTTAACGAGGAATGTCGCCAGGCAGATTGCAACTGCTGACACAAGGCAGTAGTGGGACATCGGGAGAGGCTCTGAGGTGGAGCTGGGCCACATAGACTCATGGCAGGCGAGCACTGCGTCTTAATCGGGATAATAACAACAGCACATCCCCAAGTGGTGGGGGGGCCCATTGCGATTAAACTTGTCGTAAAAAACACTACACCCCACCACCCCTCCAGTTGCATAACCACGCACAACAGCCCTGTAAATGTCAATTGTTGACATTTATTCCACACGGAGGTAAACCACGCATACAAGGATCAAGGGCTCAGCCATTGGGAGTCTGGAAGAGGATCAAAACAGCCCCTGTGACTAACACAATCCACTTGCTTAGAGAGAGCCTCCGCTGTTGACTTTATGGCCATAAATGCAGGGATCATAGGTTTCGATGCTGTTTATATTCACAGCAGTTTAAATAGGCAAACGAAACAGCCCTCTGAAGAAGGTGGAGGGGCCGCAGTGGAGAAATCCCCATCGAGACTTTCTCGAGAAAATGTTGGCCTACTCTTTCAAGCTGGCTTTTGGAAGAGGTGGGAGAACCCACACTTTACCCCATCACACATAACCTGCTGATCGACTATCTGCGACCTACTCCATTTATTCTAGATTTGAAGCTTTCGTGACTGCAAGGATTCATACTATTTGTTTTTTTCGGTAAAGTCACGTAGGTAAAAAATCGAATCAAATAAATGAAAACAACTAAATTAAATCAAATTTACTCCATTTAAACTGCTGGGCAGACACAGAGTGGGGAATGGACTCGGCTACCACTGGATCGCAAGTCCAGAGCGCTGAACATTACAACCGCGGCAGCGTCCCCGGGCTCAAAATCCACTGGCGAGACAGCTTGTCCCCCACGAGACGGTCTCAGTGGACTCGTAGCCATAAAATTGCGCCGACGACACCGATCGTGACTCCGTGGTCCGCAAAATATCAGAATCTGTATTTACATATCCAGTAGGGGCGGATAAGAACGTTACAACAACGAACAATACGAAACACGACGGGAGTGCAAAGTACAAGAAAGGTAAACAAATCACCCACACACAAACAAATACAACACGAAACCATCCCCATCCTACCAGGCAAAGCCCAATGAGATATTAACTTATTTTTCAGACGCGACCAGGTCACAAATGATAGCTCTGCAACAAAGTGGATTGTCATTTGGGCATTTATAGCAGCAAAATAATCTCAATAATCTCAATGCATGTTTCTGCCATACGGAGGTGCGGTTTGGGCAACAGCAGAGGTGTTGTGCCTTCATGAGAAAACAGAGAAGTTACTGGTGAGACGCCGTGCCGTCTGACCCAGGGGTCGGCAACCAAAATAACAAGGAGACATTTTTTTTTCTTCGAATTCAGCCACAACAAAAATAAACCCCTCGGGAATTTCAAGAGCCGCAGTGCACGTCGTGAATAAGAGACTGCGGTGGTCCTTCGTGAATAACGAGTCACGGAGCGGCGGTCCTGAAAGAGCCACCGAATGCGGCTCAGGACACGCAGGCTGGCGACCTCGTAACCTAACCAGACCGCGTAATGTCGCGTCACTACTACGACGGGCATCTGCCAGAACTTTCTTTGAAAACAAAAAGATTAAAACTCGAGTTTCTTTAAATTCGCCTGCGCGGTATTTGCCCCGGGCTGCTCTAGAATCGCATACCCGAAACCAATGGTTGTTTCCCCGGCGGGTATAATCTACAACAGGCTTTCCAAATACTCCATCGCGGGTTTGCTTCAATAGAGGGGGGGTATTGTTGGTATCCGAATGCGCAGCCAAAGGCCTCATATTGCCTGCAGATTGGCGGTGCGATCCACTGGGTTTAAAACAAAAATAATTATTCAAAACGGTCGCAGATCTCACTGCGAACAAGCGGCCGTTCTCACCCACGTGGTCATTTTCACGTGCGAGCCCCATGTGTAATTGGAGCCGAGGTGAATTAATTATTAATTACATTTGGGCTTTTTTATTTTCTAACAAACGTGAAACCCTCTGTGCTTCAAAGCGTACTTGTGTGACTGGAAGTATGTGCTCGGTAACTGTATACGATCCAATGTTTTTTTTGTAATTTAGATTGATTTGGGAAAACGTTTTCTTCTTATGTTTTCAATACGTATATGAACAGCGACGCTGTTTTAATGGTTTCGCGATCTGCAATCCAGAGGTCCTCGGTTAGATTTCATCTCCCAGCGCAGGAGATTCGAATCGGAGCCTTTTATTTTAGACCGGAGGAATCCGATGAGCCTTGAAGCTCTTTTTCACAGATGAGAGTTGCCCAATAGCGTCTTGTCTTATATTTATTATACGTACTTTATCCACGGCGCTTTACAAGGGTTAGGAGTTGGACAATTGGGGTCACTAAAAGCGATATGCTGAATAGGGATGTGATAAAGGGAGGGAGGTTAATGGGTACCAGAAATATGGAAACTCGACAGGGAGTGTGCTCTCTAGAGCTCCCTCTAGTGGAGGCCCTGAATTAAATTATAATTCAAATAATACATTTTTAACAATTATTAAGCAGTGGAATTCGCAAGCAATTGCAGGCCTGCTCCTCTACCTTGGGTATTAGCAATGGAGGCAGGGCACTAGTGTGCCTGAGTAGCCATTTCACTGCTGCGACTCATCAACAAAGATGTATGTATGATGAACTTCTTTCGCACCGTACGTAGCTAACCGTGCTAATCACAAGTAAAAACATTCCCCCCCTCTCGTAAAAAATGTTAAAAATAAATAATGATGTTTTAACGAATGTTTTGCTGTTCAATCGCTGTTGTTTTTCCCCATACTAATTGGCTTCAATGATTGTTTAGCTTAAGGGGTTGTCGTTGGGTGAACGATGTTTACTACCCTGTCTTTTACCAAAGCCAAGCCATGTAACAACTTAATCGATTCATTCGTTAGAATTCATTATTACGGCCACGATATATATTTTTTTATCCGGTTCGTATGGGGATACGTTCTTTTTCGAATTCTTGAAAATTACATGAGTGTGTCGAGATCGGTGACTTGGTTCAAGCGGTAGCACATTTTGCCGCTTGTTGCAGAATTGCACGGTTCGTGATAGCGAGGCCACCCTGGTTAATACTGAAACTGTAAAGATCATGAAATAGATGCGGTCTGATTCACTGTTGACGTTAAAAATCTTGTGATGTCATTCAAAAATAAAAAATCAGGCCATGTGTGCCAGTTTCACGGTCCAAACTTGCCAAATTAAAAAAGTTACTCGCAATGTACTCACATTGGGAAAGCGCATAGCAATCCTTAGCCTAATTAAATGTGCAAATTTTACCTCTAGGATGAGGAAATGAACGGGACAGACTGTACAACTACAAGATAGTCGATACGAACGAGACAGTACAAAGGAGACGAAAGAAAGTTGATTCCTGCACGGAAACGTGACCCTGAAAGTGTGCCAATTCATCGAACCACGTGGTGCATGAGTCATTACATGCCTATTGTGGGACTCACCGAGTCACGCAGAGGGTCAATTTGCAAGCAGAGGATGATGCGCGGCGGGCAATGGAAAGGACGGCGTGGAATGCCGCCCGAGTATTTCGTGAAAGATCACCTTTCTCTTGCGTTTGCGCTTCTTCTTGGGCTCCTCTTCAGTGACGATTACGGGCACCGCCACTTCGGGCCTCGGAACCTTCTGGAGAAAGGGGCGAACAGAAAAAAAAAATCTGCTCTTAAAAGAACGACCTCGCCCAGAGCACATCTACAAAAATGCACAATTAGACTCAGCGCTCCGTAACGGCAAACGTATGACTCATGCCGATGCGATTATCCACCTAATGTAGTTTCAACCGCTCGATTAACAAACAGCCGTATATGGTACGGCTTCGGGGCACTTAGCTGTAGGATGAGGTGAAAGCCCAGCGCACACTCCATTAGTCAGTTTATTTCTTTTGCACGGCGCTCTGCCACTCTGCGTTACGAGAGGGGCAATTTGGGGCGTTTGGTCTCAGGACATTTCACGATATAAATAAAACGGAGCAGCCCAAAGTCGGACGATGCTGAAATTATGCTTCGGACAAATCACCTTCAAACGCACGCACACGCACGCACGCAAACGACATGCCCGTTTGAAAAATATTCCAAGGAATTTTTGTTATTTTATTTTTTTATCTTGTTTGATCCTGTAACACATTTAGAAGAAAACACATGTGAGGGGTTTCAGAGAGAGAGAGATTTGAACATCAAAAGAATGTAGACTTTGCAATATTAATGCTACTTTATCTTTTTAACGCGTGCTAAAGGCCAACATAATGTGGTATTATACAAAGACGATATGAAATATGGGGCTTCGCAATACTCACCGTCAAACCGTTCTTGTTTTTTCCCAGTAGAATGAAATTTGACAGAATCTTGAAGGCAACCAACGGTATTTTTGTTGGCGTGTAAAACGCTGGGCTCGAAAAGCAAATCGTAACAACTTAACGTTATCACGAAAAATGTGATTTACAGTATCATGGGGGGGAAGGGGCGCGAGAAAAAAATGATAATTTTTCTTTGTATCTGCCTGCAGCCAATTCAACTGAATGAACGGCTCCCTAACATCACAGCTGAGTCTATCTGCCAGCATGCCTGAAGTATCAGTGAGGTCACTTTACAAAAGCTATTTGCTGAAAGTGTGCCGCGTAGCTCAGGGCTAAGAGTACCGAGCCAGCAGCTGCTGATATCCTGCATTCGAATGTTGGCTTCAGCAACGCAGTGATTAAATCGGGATCTCAAGTGTAGCGGAGTTGATGATCTCAGGCCGTTCACCAGTGACTTCACACACACCCCCCCCGCCCTCCGTAACACCAAATTAGATCCGTCTTCTTGGTTCTTTCGGTAAAATCACGTAGAAGGGAAATAATAAAATAATAAAAATAAAACATAATAAAATAATTCTGACGACGTTTCGGCCACAACGCAAGCAGCCGTCCTCAGGTGAAGAACAGGTCAGAACAGGTTAGGTCTGTTGGGAAGACGCTGTCGGGAAGACGCTGTCGGGAAGACGCTGTTCTTCACCTGAAGACGGCTGCTTGTGTTGTGGCCGAAACGTCGTGAGAATTATTTTATTATGTTTTATTTGTATTATTTTATTATTTCCCTTCTATGTGACTTTACCTAAAGAACCAAGAAGATGAATCCCTGCAGTCACGAAAGCTTTAAATCGAAAACAAATTAGATCGTCAAGCTTCATTTGGTTAAATTCCACCTCTGAGAAATTAAAAAAAGCAATTGAATTTGCAGGGGAAAATATTTCTCCGTAGGAGGGTGTGCGGAAAGTGTCCCTTGCTGAAAATGGTCGCTCGAAGGGAGATCTGAAGCGGCTCTATGAAATCAACTTCCACAGACCATTCTCCTCCGCACGGGGTGATGCACTGCTCGGTGTGCTTGACACCGACAACACATTCGGGATAGAGTTAGGAGGGGTAAAAAAAAATATATTCAGTTACAAAGCCTGTTACGTGAGTTGGACCCCTTGTTTTACGGCACGGTTGCTTGTAGTGCAACTGGGAAAAAAAGTCTGGGAAAGTGAATTTCTTCACAGTTACCACTAAAACAGGTTTCATTTTCATCTTGTAAAACAACCCTATACTTTCTAACAAGTGCGTGAACTCTGCCAGACAGAATCTGGTACATAAGAGAGCGTTTCTCTTTATTGGCACTGTGCTGTAACTTTAACTAGAGCGGTGACCATAAAAAGACTCTCACCGATGATAAAACTGGAATAACGTTTTATGAGGAATTACATTTACATTTACAAGTTAACCTTTTCCCATCAGCCTCATATTTTATCCGTTATCAACACAACCGCCGCAACCATCATATAACCGTCACCAACATCATGGAGAAACTGTTTAAGTCCATCATCTGAAAGCCCTATAAATTAAACATCGCTTACGAAGTTGTAAACATTTCTCGCTTCGAAGTCTGCGATACATCAAATGAGTTGGGAGAAAGAAAAAACTGCCGGACACCGACTCCCCTATTCCATCATCTCGATCAAGCAACCCGCCCTCCTTGATGTGTTTCATTTAAAAAAAATATTTTTATTTTTTGGTAACCTTGGGAGCTGCGGGACACGCGATCGATGATCCCAGCGTGACACGTTCAAATAAACAGTTGGCTCGTCGTGGTAGCAGTGGCAAACCATCACCGGCACTGCGGTGCAAGAGGCAACGCGGCTCTCGTATTTTCCAAGAAGCGTTGTGGTTATCGTCTGTGCACGCCTGAGCGCGTGTCGCTCCGACGTGAGACTTCGACGCGGTGCGCGGCGAGGGCCAGAGGACATTACGTAACGCTCTTCTCGCTCTCGCCGTCTAATTATAGCTCCGCCGGGGAAATTACGCTCATTAGAAAATTATGGGCTGTATTATGTAGCAAAGCGAGCTGGGGCGATGAGTGAGTTGGGTCCGAAATGTTCCCCCTACCCCTCGCTCGCGTCTTCGTACGGAAAAAATTACGGAACGATAAAAACAATTATTACGTATATTATCTTCGACTGGCATGATTTGTAGATTTGGGCAAGGATTTTAATTGCTTGCTCATGTGCTCACGATTTAATGTGTTAATTAAAAGTCAACAATTACTTTTTTTTTTAAACGTACTGTGTTGCGGCGGGGGCAGACAAAGTGGGTAGCCCGCTGCGCTACGAACCCAATGACCTGAGGTTTGATTCCCGGCCAAAGCTAACATCAATGGCTTCGCTCACCATCCTGTATTTTTTTTAAGCCTGCTGAACAGGGGCGGTTTCTTCATTAGGGCGATTGGGCGACGCACCACCAATGTCATTCAACCACAGAGTCACACTAGCCGTCACTGTGCCTCTGGATATAGTCCAATCAGCGTCGTGCTACGTTCTGTGGAGTACCGCCTCTTTTTGGGCGATTTCCCTCCAGCTGAGAATCGCCCCGAGTGGCCCCATAGACTTACATTCAAAGATGTTTTTTTTCGAACGGGGGCGCTGCAATGCATTCTCTATGGCTTCCGGGAGGGCTCGCCCTAACGTGCTTACGTCATCATACGTGCTTACGTCATCATACGTAAGCACGTTTCATCCAACAATATAATTTGTTGCCACCTAGTGGAATCTTTAATAAAATAAACTTGAGTGGTTTGTTTTAATAGTGAGTATAGAAACAAACAAGATGTATTGTAAGAGTCACTTTATTTTTCATTAATATTAAAGAAGTGAAGTTGCCTTTACATGCTTAAGCTGTTAATTTATCCATTGCATGGGTGGACCTTATCCTTATCAATCATCCAGACATTTGCCCCCCCTGAGAGATTTTGCAGGAGCCGCCACTGCTGCTGAAGTATGGTCAAACAACTCCCACAGGCATGGGGAGGCCTTCATCCAGCAGTTGATTGACGAAGGCTGTTCATTACCATAATGTATTATTCTTATTATAACTCAGGATCAACCAGAGGTGTTTGCAATCTGATAATGACACGAACACACAATCGTAATATTTATTGGTAGGAACCACCTGGTTCCACCAGCCCACAGGGGATTATTGTGTCCGTCCGTCGTGCATCCAAAAATGGGAGGGGTGGGGCTGGGTGGAGAGGAGAGGGTGGGGAGGGGCTGGGTGGAGAGGGGAGGGTGGGGAGAGTGGGGCTGGGTGGGGAGAGTGGGGCTGGGTGGGGGGTGGGAGGGGTGGGGCTGGGTGGGGAGGGGCTGGTCACCCCGTGGTGCCCTTATAAAACTCAACGTTTAACCTACTCACGCCGGCTTGTGCCCGCCCTCACAGTCGGGCATATTTGCGGAATACACCATGCAGCCGTTGACCCTGGCCATTGACCGAGCAACCCAACGTTCCTACCAGCTCCCTCCGCAGGAATGTGTTATATGACAAGAAAACCCCCACCCCCCTCCCACACCGTGGCAGCTGTCGTCCCGATGTGGCACAGGGTGAACACAGCACCTGGCCTGCAAGTGGGCATTCGGTTACCAGCAGTGGCCAATGGTGCTACGAGGCTTCCCAATTGAGTAATTTGCGAGTACTGTAATTGCTGAGATTTGACGGATTTGGACCACACATGGCCGACCCTTTTTCCAACAGCGCAATGAGATCATTAACGCCGCCTGTCAAGCAGACGTACGCCCGTGGCATTAACCAGGGCGGCCGTGGGGCTCGAACCGCTCCGCCAATGGGCCATGTCACACTGCCCACAATGACCTGCTTTGGAGAATTGGGACTCTTCGCAGCCACAATCATGAGCAGATGTGATATTATCTTTCAAAACATTGTGTAAGCACAGCAGCATTGCTCTGAGCAACAATGCCCGCAAGAGAGTTTGAAGCGTCTCATCTATACGGTCTCATGACTGTATCGTCTCATCTATACTGCAACTGTGTTTAACCAATCACAACACCGCAGGTCAAAACACTTCTCTTTCTGCTTCGTCCCTCGCACTGCTCCACTCTGGAACTCCCTCCTCCTCCATCATCATCATCGTCTCTTTTCCCAAGCTCTTGAAATAAAAACCAACCTTGCTCTACTCTACGAACGTGCCGACTTATTTATCACCACTTGGATCGTGCCGCTCATTGCCGGCCGCTTGACATTTTTTGTCGCCTTGTGGCCTATGCTCATTATGCTCATTAATCTGTATTTAAAAACAAAACAAAGAAAAAAATGAATGATCGACACA